GGCCAAGAGTCAAATCTCGGTCAGATCTGTGGAGAGGAGAGCCCACTTGGAGTAAAAGTGTTTTTTGTGGTAGTTTTGGAGAAATAAAAACATGTAATTGAATAAATACAGGATATATTTGTTTAATGCCGTACAGTGGAACATTCCAGGCAACATCACCATGGAGACGAGAAGAAAAGTATAAAACTTACACAGTGCAGTATTTCTGAGTCTTTTTTTTTATTACCACAGACACTTGAATCTCACTGTAAACTTTTATTAATGCAGTATAACCATTCTTCCCGGGAACTACTTCACAAATTAATGAATTTGTGATTTAATTTAGTTAATTAAATCATCATAATTAGTTGTGAATGTCAAAATAAAAGACCCAATTCTTCATTATTATCATATATAGTTATTTCCGCAGCATTAACCTTTGTTCCTGCAGACTAGGTCACAAATTAATGAGTGTGTTAATCAGTTTGTAATAGAATTTAGTTAATTAAAACCTCTGAATTAGTCCTGAATGTAAAAATAAAAACTCACAACTCTTAATTATTATCATATATAGTTATTTCCACGGCATTAAACAGCCTTACTGGAGACTAGATCACAAATGAATGAGTATGTAATTGAACTGCATTAATTAAAACATCAGAATAAGTTGTGAATGTCAAAATAAAAGTCCCAATTCTTAATTATTACCATATATAGTTATTTCCACAGCATTAAACAGTCTTCCTGGAAACTAGATCACAATTTAATGAGTTTGTAATTGAATTTAGTTAATTAAATCATCATAATTAGTCATGAATGTCAAAATAAAAGTCTCAATTCTTAATTATTATTATAGACACTATCGTATATAGTATAACCGTTCATCCTGTAGACTAGTTTACAAATTAATAAGTTTGTGAATTAATTTAGTTAATTAAAACATCAGAATTAGTTGTGAATGTTAAAATAAAAGTCACAATTCTTTATTATTACCATATATAGTTATTTCCGCAGCATTAAACAGTCTTCCTGGAAACTACATCATAAATTAATGAGTTTGTAATTGAATTTGTAATAGAATTAGGTTAATTAAAACATCAGAATTAGTCTTGAATGTAAAAATAAAAACTCACAATTCTTTATTATTATCATATATAGTTATTTCCGCAGCATTAAACAGTCTTCCTGGAGACTAGTTCACAAATTAATACATTTTTTTGGTGTTTGTAATTTAATTTAGTTCATTAAAACGTCATAATTAGTAGTGAGTGTAAAAATAAAAGTCGCAATTCTTAATTATTACCATATATAGTTATTTATACTGCGTTAAGTGTTCTTCCTGGAGATTAGTTCACAAATTAATTCGTTTATTACTGAATTTGTCATTGAATTTAGTTCATTAAAACATCATCATTACGGTAGTCGTGGATGTAAAAATAAAAACTCACAATTATTATTATCTTATATAGTTATTTATACTGCGTTAAGTGTTCTTCCTGGAGACTAGTTCACAAATTAATTTGTTTATTATTGAATTTGTAATAGAATTTAATTAATTAACACATCATAATTAGTCGTGAATGTAAAAATCAAAGTCAAAATTCTTAGTTATTATCATATATAAAGTTATTTCCGCAGCATTAACCGTTCTTCTTGGAGACTAGTTCACAAATTAATTCGTTTGTTATTGAATTTGTCATTGAATTTACTTAATTAACACATCACAATTCGTCATAAAAGTAAAAATCAAAGTCAAAATTCTTAGTTATTATCATATATAGTTGTTTATACTGCGTTATGTGTTCTTCCTGGAGACTAGTTCACAAATTAATTCGTTTGTTATTGAATTTGTAATTAAATTTATTTAATTAAAACATCATCATTACGGTAGTCTTGGATGTCTATGACTGTCAAAATAAAACTCTTTCCGCTGCCCTGGCTCCGTTTCCGGTGTCGTCGCGGTGATCGTGGCCGCCTTGACGCGCTCCTTCCCCGGGCTCAGCATCCTCCCGCTCCCGCCCCTCAGACCTGCTCCGGAGCCCGAGCGCAGCGGCCTGTCCTCGGCTCTCCTCCGCCCCGAACCTCCGCTCAGCTCCGCCCCGGGGCTCCAGCAGCTCGCACTCCGGCCTCGGGACTCCGCTCCGGGCCTCGTCGCCTGGTTTCTCGGCTCGGTTCGGCTCGGTTGGGCTCGGTTTCGGTCCGGAGATGAACCCTCCGTGTGCCCGCTGCGGGAAGACGGTTTATCCCACGGAGAAAGTGAACTGTCTGGATAAGGTCAGAGACTTTTACCGCTCACAGAATAACACCGGAATAATAAAAATCATCCAAATACCGAGACAAGTTTTACAAGAACCGATTAGTGTGAAAATAACCCGCGTTTGTTTTATTTTAGATTTATTTAATTTGGAATAAAGTTAAAAATAAAGTTGAGTTAATGTAACGGACCAACGGTAAATCCTGTTTAACGGAACCAGTCCAGTCCTGGTTCAGTCCTGGTTTAGTCCTGGTTTAGTTCTGGTTTAGACCTGGTTCAGTCCTGCTTTAGTCCTGGTTTAATCCTGGTTTAGTCCTGGTTTAGTTCTGGTTTAGACCTGGTTTAGTCCTGGTTTAGTCCTGGTTCAGTCTTGGTTTATTTCTGGTTTAATCCTGGTTTAGTCCTGGTTTAGTTCTGGTTCAGTCCTGGTTTAGACCTGGTTTAGTCTTGGTTCAGTCCTGGTTTAATCTTGGTTCAGTCCTGGTTTAGTCCTGGTTCAGTCCTGGTTTAGTCCTCCTTTAGTCCTGGTTCAATCTTGATTTAGTCCTGGTTTAGTTCTGGTTTACTCCTGGTTTAGACCTGGTTTAGTTTCTGGTTTAATCCTGGTTCAGTTCTGGTTCAGTCTTGGTTTAGTCCTCGATTAGTCCTGGTTTAGTCCTGCTTTAGTCCTGGTTCAGTCTTGGTTTAGTCCTTGATTAGTCCTGGTTTAGTCCTGTCTTAGACCTGGTTTAGTCTTGGTTCAGTCTTGGTTTAGTCCTGGTTTAGACCTGGTTTAGACCTAATTTAGTCCTGGTTTAGTCCTGGTTTAGACCTGGTTTAGTCCTGGTTTAGTCTTGGTTTAGTCCTGGTTTAGTTTCTGGTTTAATCCTGGTTCAGTTCTGGTTCAGTGCTGGTTCAGTCTTGGTTTAGTCCTTGATTAGTCCTGGTTTAGTCCTGCTTTAGTCCTGGTTCAGTCTTGGTTTAGTCCTTGATTAGTCCTGGTTTAGTCCTGTCTTAGACCTGGTTTAGTCCTGGTTTAGTTCTGGTTTAGTCCTGGTTTATTCCTGGTTTAGTCTCTGGTTTAATACTGGTTCAGTCTTGGTTCAGTCTTGGTTTAGTCCTGGTTTAGACCTGGTTTAGTCCTGGTTTAGTCCTGGTTCAGTCCTGGTTTAGACCTGGTTTAGTCCTGGTTTAGTCCTGGTTTAGTCCTGGTTTAGACCTGGTTTAGTCCTGGTTTAGTCCTGGTTTAGACCTGGTTTAGTCCTGGTTTAGTCCTGGTTTAGTCCTGGTTTAGACCTGGTTTAGTCCTGGTTTAGTCCTGGTTTAGACCTGGTTTAGTCCTGTTTCTCCAAATGCTTAAACTAGTTTGTGTTTTGTTTCATTCACAAAAACCCTGCACATTTAACACAGAAAACACTCAGTTCCACCTCATGATGTCATCATGTGGTGATACAGGAAGTGCTCCACTGTGTTTTTAAACTCCACACTCCTTCACTACAATCATCTGGATCATTTTTTCAGCTCTGGAGTCGCTGATCTCGACTGAACTAAAGTTAAAAGGAGCTGTTCACTCACTGTTACACTACCACCACTTGATGACATCACAAGGTGGAGCAGAGCGAACACAGAGTCACTCAAACACGTGAATGAAACACAGAGGAAAAGTTTGGAGATTTATTTAAAAACAGAAAATCTCCCACAGGATGTTTATTATTATTTATTCAAATTTACCTGGGATTATGTCATTATGATTTATTTTTATTTTTATTTAATTTATTTATTTTTTTTAATTTGGTCTGAGTCGTTGTTTGTTTTGATCGTGTCGTTTGTCTCACTTCTGTTCAGAGTTTAGACTTTCACTTTTACTTCCTGATCCTGTAAAACACAAACCTGTAGACCTGTTTTAGTCCTGTTTTAGTCCTGTTTTAGTCCTGATTTAGTCCTGATTTAGTCCTGGTTCAGTCCTGGTTTAGTCCTGGTTTAGTCCTGGTTCAGTCCTGGTTTAATCCTGGTTTAGTCCTGGTGTAGTCCTGTTTTAGTCCTGGTTTAGTCCTGGTTCAGTCCTGGTTTAGTCCTGGTTCAGTCCTGGTTTAGTCCTGGTTTAATCCTGGTTTAGTCCTGGTTTAGTCCTGGTTCAGTCCTGGTTTAGTCCCTGGTTTAGTTCTGGTTTAGTCCTGGTTCAGTCCTGGTTCAGTCCTGGTTTAGTCCTGGTTTAGTTCTGTTGTAGTCCTGGTTTAGTCTTGGTTTAGTCCTGGTTTAGTCCTGGTTTAGTTCTGGTTCTGAGGAGGCGTGTGTCTCTGAACAGCTGAGTAATTCTGTTGCATAATTCAGATCCATTATTCATCAAAAAAACACAACATGACAAGACCAGGACTAAACCAGGACTAAACCGGGACTAAACCCTCAGTAGTACTCGTCTTGGTCTTGGTCCTGGTCTTGGTCTTGGTCTTGGTCGTGTCAGATTCTGTTGAATATAGAACACACTTCTAAAGACATTCAAGTTGCTCACTGACCCCATTTACATCCTGTCTGCATCACTGCTCCTGTCTGCTCCTGTCTGCTCCTGTCAGCTCCTGTCTGCTCCTGTCAGCTCCTGTCACATCACTGCTCCTGTCTGCTCCTGTCTGCTCCTGTCAGTCTCTCTGTCTGCTCTGTCTGCTCTCCTGTCTGCTCCTGCTCCTGTCTCTCCTGTCTACTCCTGCTCCTGTCATCTGCTCTGTCTGTCTGTCCCTGTCTCTGCTCCTGTCAGCTCCTGTCTGCTCCTGTAGCTCCTGTCCTGTCTGCTCCTGTCTGCTCCTGTCAGCTCCTGTCAGCTCCTGTCTTGCTCTGCTGCTCCTGTCAGCTCCTGTCAGCTCTTGTCTGCTCCTGTCTACTCCTGTCTGCATCACTGCTCCTGTCTGCTCCTGTCTGCTCCTGTCTGCAGCTCCTGTCTGCTCCTGTCAGCTCCTGTCTCCTGTCTGCTCCTGTCTGCTCCTTCAGCTGTCTGCTCCTGCTCTCCTTTCTGCTCTTGTCTGCTCCTGCCTGCTCCTGTCAGCTCCTGTCTACTCCTGTCTGCATCACTGCTCCTGTCTGCTCCTGTCTGCTCCTGTCAGCTCCTGTCTGCTCCTGTCTGCTCCTGTCAGCTCCTGTCTGCTCCTGCCTACTCCTGTCCGCTCCTGTCGCTCCTGTCAGCTCTGTCAGCTCCTGTCTGCTCCTGTCTACTCCTGTCCGCTCCTGTCAGCTCCTGTCAGCTCCTGTCAGCTCCTGTCTGCTCCTGTCTGCTCCTGTCAGCTCCTGTCAGCTCCTGTCTGCTCCTGTCTGCTCCTGTCAGCTCCTGTCAGCTCCTGTCTGCTCCTGTCTGCTCCTGTTTCTCTGCTCGTTTTTTCTTCCTGTTCTTCGGCGCCATTTTGAGGACTTTTCACTGTTCCAGAGACAAAATTTCATAGTTTTAAATGTTTAATCGCCATAGCAACAGTTCAGTGTTTTATGATCATGTTGAAAGTCGCCGTGACGTTTGAGTGAATCGAGTTTAACGCTGACGTTTGTGTTTGTGTTTGTTTGTTTCAGAACTGGCACAAAGGCTGTTTCCACTGTGAGGTCTGTAAAATGACCCTCAACATGAAGAACTACAAAGGCTACGACAAGAAACCCTACTGCACCGCGTGAGTCCACATCCAGACCTGACCCGGACCTGACCCAGACCCGGTCCAGACCCGGTCCAGACCCGACCCAGACCTGACCCAGACCCGGTTCAGTTCTATATGGAGCTGAGTTTGGGTCATGGGATCTTTAATCTCCTCTGTGTGACTCCAAAGCCCCTCAGCAAAGACTCACAGACCTGGTTTAGTTCTGCTCTAGTCCTGTTTTAGTCCTGATTTGGTCCAGTGTTAGTCCTGGTTTAGTCATGGTTCAGTCCTGCTTTAGTCCAGTTTTAGTCCAGTTTTAGTCCTGTTTTAGTCCTGTTTTAGTCCTGTTTGAGTCCTGTTTGAATCCTGTTTGAGTCCTGGTTGAGTCCAGTTTTAGTGCAGTTTTGGTCCAGTTTTAGTCCTGCTTTAGTCCAGTTTTAGTCAAATTTTAGTCCAATTTTAGTCCTGGTTTTGTCCTGTTTGAATCCTGGTTGAGTCCTGTTTTAGTCCAGTTCAAGTCCAGTTCGAGTCCAGTTTCCAGTTTTAGTCCAGGTTTAGTCCTGGTTCTTGCTGGTGTTTTCTTTCATTGAAGTGAATGTTGCAGCCTCATTCACAGCTCGACTGAAGCAGGAAACACGAGCACGACTCTGTGTGTGTGTGTGTGTGTGTGTGTGTCTCTGTGTGTGTGTGTGTGTGTGTGTGTGTGTGTGTGTGTGTGTGTCTGTGTGTGTGTGTGTGTGTGTGTGTGTGTGTGTGTGTGTCTCTGTGTGTGTGTGTGTGTCTGTGTGTGTGTGTGTGTGTGTGTGTGTGTGTGTGTCTGTGTGTGTGTGTGTGTGTGTGTGTGTGTGTGTGTCTCTGTGTGTGTGTGTGTGTGTGTGTGTGTGTCTGTGTGTGTGTGTCTGTGTGTGTGTGTGTGTGTGTCTGTGTGTGTGTGTGTGTGTGCTGTGTGTCTGTGTGTGTGTGTGTCTCTGTGTGTGTGTGTGTGTGTGTGTGTGTGTCTGTGTGTGTGTCTGTGTGTGTGTGTCTGTGTGTGTGTGTGTGTGTGTGTGTGTCTGCTGTGTGTGTGTGTGTGTGTGTGTGTGTGTGTGTGTCTCTGTGTGTGTGTGTGTGTGTGTGTGTGTGTGTGTGTGTGTGTGTGTGTGTGTGTCTGTGTGTGTGTGTGTGTGTGTGTGTGTGTGTGTGTGTCTCTGTGTGTGTGTGTGTGTGTGTGTCTGTGTGTGTGTGTGTGTGTGTGTGTGTGTGTGTGTGTGTGTGTCTCTGTGTGTGTGTGTGTGTGTGTCTCTGTGTGTGTGTGTGTGTGTGTGTGCTGTCTGTGTGTGTGTGTGTGTGTGTGTGTGTGTCTGTGTGTGTGTGTGTGTGTGTGTGTCTGTGTGTGTGTGTGTGTGTGTGTGTGTGTGTCTGTGTGTGTCTCTTGTGTGTTTGTTGTCTGTGTGTGTGTGTGTCTGTGTGTGTGTCCCAGAATGTTTTTCTCTTACATAACCTCCATCAGATCTCACCATCCTCTGACCCTCTGACCCTCTGACCCTCTCCTCCTCTGACCCTCTCCTCCTCTGACCCTCTGACCCTCTGACCCTCTGACCCTCTCTGACCCTCTCCTCCTCCTCTGACCTCTCCTCCTCTGACCCTCTGACCTCTGACCCTCTCCTCTGACCCTCTCCTCCTCTGACCCTCTCCTCCTCTGACCCTCTCTCTGACCTCTGACCCCTCTGACCCTCTCCTCCTCCTCTGACCCTCTGACCCTCCTCCTCTGACCCTCTCCTCCTCCTCTGACCCTCTCCTCCTCCTCTGACCCTCTCCTCCTCTGACCCTCTGACCCTCTCCTCCTCTGACCCTCTGACCCTCTGACCCTCTCCTCCTCCTCTGACCCTCTCCTCCTCCTCTGACCCTCTCCTCCTCTCTCTGACCCTCTCCTCCTCTGACCCTCTGACCCTCTCCTCCTCTGCTCCTCTGACCCTCTCCTCCTCTGCTCCTCTGACCCTCTGACCCTCTCCTCTCTGTACACTTGTACACACAGTGTGTGTGAGTTCTTTGTGATGTTGTGTTATTTTCTGTAGATTGTGTTATTGTAGTGTGTAGTGTACACTCTGTGGTGTGGTGTTGTACTCTGTAGTGTGTGTACTGTACTGTATAGTGTGTAGTGTACTTGTGTAGTGTAGTACAGTTGTGTGTAGTTGTGTGTAGTTGTGTGTAGTTGTGTGTCGTGTGTGTAGTTGTGTGTCGTGTGTGTAGTTGTGTGTCGTGTGTGTGGTACAGTTGTGTAGTTGTGTGTAGTTGTGTGTCGTGTGTGTGGTACAGTTGTGTAGTAGTTGTGTGTCGTGTGTGTAGTTGTGTGTAGTTGTGTGTCGTGTGTGTAGTGTGTGTGTAGTTGTGTGTAGTTGTGTGTAGTTGTGTGTAGTTGTGTGTAGTTGTGTGTGTGGGAGGCAGTGAGTGGGACGAGAGGCAGAGGCCACTCAGAGCTGCAGGCTCCACCACAGACCCACTTCAGTCCTGCTCCAGTCCTGGTCCTGGCTTAGTCCTGTTTTAGTCCTGGTCCAGTCCTAGTCCTGGTTCAGTCCTGGTTCAGTCCTGGTTCAGTCCTGGTCCTGGTTTAATCCTGGTCCAGTCTCAGTCCTGGTTCAGTCCTGCTTTAGTCCTGTTTTAGTCCTGGTTCAGTCCTGCTTTAGTCCTGGTCCTGGTTTAGTCCTGGTTCAGTCCTGGTCCTGGTTTAGTCCTGGTTCAGTCCTGGTCCTGGTTTAGTCCTGGTTCAGTTCTTGTTCTTGTCTCTGGTCTGATTTTCTCGGTGGAACAGGAAGTGAGTCACGTCTGAGCCGTTTTCACCTTTTCATATTTTCATTTCTGTTTCTGACATTTTAAACAATGGAACGACCACAATTCCAGGAAAGTCCCTCTGGACCCGGAGCCTCCAGGACAATAGTCCAGACCTGAATCCAGACCTGAGTCCAGACCTGAGTCCAGACCTGAGTCCAGACCTGAACCTGGACTGGGCAGGGCATCTGACACAGTTTGTTTTGTGTTTTTTTTTTTTCAGACATTATCCAAAGACGTCGTTCACCATCGTCACAGACACTCCAGAAAACCTCCGACTGAAACAGCAGAGCGAACTACAGAGCCAGGTCTGGACCAGGACTAAACCAGGACTAAACCAGGACTAAACCAGGACTAAACCAGGACTACAGGACTGAAACCAGGACTAACCAGGACTAAACCAGGACTAACCAGGACTAAACCAGGACTACCAGGACTACAGGACTAAACCAGGACTAAACCAGGACTAAACCAGGACTGACTAAACCAGGACTAAACCAGGACTGAACCAGGACTGGAAACCAGGACTGAACTAACCAGGACTGGACCAGGACTAAACCAGGACTAAACCAGGACTAAACCAGGACCAGGACTGGACTAACCAGTGAACCAGGACTAAACCAGGACTAAACCAGGACTGAACCAGGACTAAACCAGGACTGAACCAGGACTAAACCAGGACTAAACCAGGACTAACCAGGACTAAAACCCAGGACTGAACCAGGACTGGGACTGGAACCAGGACTGAACCAGAGACTGGACCAGGACTGAACCAGGGACTGGACCAGGACTGAACCAGGACTGAACCAGGACTACACCAGGAATAAACCAGGGCTAAACCAGGTCTGGACCAGGACTAAACCAGGACTAAACCAGGACTACACCAGGACTACACCAGGACTAAACCAGGACTAAACCAGGACTGAACCAGGACTGAACCAGGACTGAACCAGGACTGAACCAGGACTGACCAGGTGAACCAGGACTGAACCAGGACTGGAACCAGGACTAAACCAGGACTAAACCAGGACTTAAACCCAGGACTGGCTAAACCAGGTCTGGACCAGGACTGAACCAGGACTAAACCAGGACTACACCAGGACTGAACCTGGACTAAACCAGAACTAAACCAGGACTGAACCAGGACTGAACCAGAGACTAAACCAGGACTGAACCAGGACTAACCCAGAGATGAAAGCAGATCTAGACCAGGATTTAACAGGACTAAACCCGGTCTAAACCAGGTCCAGCTCTTGTTTCCTGACACAGTGGCAGATGTCTTCTCAGTGGGCTCTGCTCTGTCCTCCATTTTGTTTCTTATTTATAACCTGCCTCAGCCCCAGACCTGGACCTGGACCTGGACCTGGACCTGGACCTGGACCCATCCCCTCCCTCCCTTTAGACCCCCCTGCTCCTCTGTGTGTTACGCATCACCTACACAACAACAAAAAAAAGAAAGAAAGAAGAAATAAAATAATAAATAGATAACCAAACAAAACAATACTAAGCATTTAACTTTATTTCATTATTTTATTTTAATTATTTTCTTTTAATTATTTTCTTTTCTGTCCTAACAGGTCTGTGTGTTAATTTTGCACTGAGCACAAACGGTCGAGAAACAGTTAAATGAATGTTCTATATCAGAGCTCTGAGCGTCGCCATGGAAACGAACAAAAATATACCCAAGTGTTCTGAGTCTGAATGAACAGAGAGAGAACTGACAGGGAGGGCACCTGACACACACGGAGGGCACCTGACACACACGGAGGGCACCTGACACACACACACACACACAGGGTGACACACACGAGGGCACCTGACACACACACACACACACACACACACACACTGGAGGGCACCTGACACCACACACACACACACACACGGAGGGCACCTGACACACACACGGGAGGGCACTGACACACACACACACACACACAGGGAGGGCACCTGACACACACACACGGGGAGGGCACCTGACACACACACGGGGAGGGCACCTGACACACACACACGGGGAGGGCACCTGACACACACACGGGAGGGCACCTGGGCACCTGACACACACACGGGGGAGGGCACCTGACACACACACGGGGAGGCACTGACACAGGGGAGGGCACCTGACACACACACACGGGGAGGGCAACACTGACACACACACGGGAGGGCACCTGACACACACCACACGGGGAGGGCACCTGACACACACACACGGGGAGAGCACCTGACACACACACGGGGAGAGCACCTGACACACACACAGGGAGGGCACCTGACACACACACACACGGGAGGGCACCTGACACACACACACACAGGGAGGGCACCTGTCACACACATACACAGGCAGGGCACCTGACACACACACTGGAGGGCACCAGACACACACGGAGGGCACCTGACACACATGTGCAGAGTGTGGGAGGGCACCTGACACACATGTGCAGAGCGTGGGAGGGCACCTGACACACATGTGCAGAGCGTGGGAGGGCACCTGACACACATGTGCAGAGCGTGGGAGGGCACCTGACACACATGTGCAGAGCGTGGGAGGGCACCTGACACACATGTGCAGAGCGTGGGAGGGCATCTGGAGTGTGTGAGGGTCTTTAATCGTGTGTCGAGGCCTCTGTGGGCGAGTTTGATTAAAGTCCATAATCTGATTAAAAACAGGATGAGTGTTCTGTCGTTTTACGCCTCCTGATGGTTTAATGTTCACACAGAAACTAACACTTCACACGACTACTTTTACTGAAGTACTTTTACTGTGTGTGTGTGTGTGTGTGTGTGTGTGTGTGTGTGTGTGTGTGTGTGTGTGTGTGTGTGTGTGTGAGTATGTGGCTCCGCCCCCTCCTGAAAGATCAGTGTCGCCGTGGCAACACAAAAGTTTATGAAGCGTGATCTGCTCTGACCCCATTCAGACCAACATGACCCACTGTGTGTGTCTGATGTACTACTGCACTGACAGGGACTGACAGGGGCACACAGGGACTGACAGGGGCACACAGGGACTGACAGGGGCTGACAGGGGCACACAGGGACTGACAGGGGCACACAGGGGCTGACAGGGGCACACAGGGACTGACAGGGGCTGATAGGAGCTGACAGGAGCAGTTAGGGATTCCTTTTCAGAACCTGACGCTACTTCTTATTTTATTATTTTTCTCTTTTATTTTGGTGAACCTTTTTATTATTTTGTACTTTTATTTTGGTGGACCTCTTTATTATTTTGCACTTTTATTTTGATGGATCTCATATTATTATTTTCCTCTTTTATTTTGGTGTACTTCTTATTATTTTGTACTTTTATTTTGATGAACCTCTTTATTATTTTGGTGTACTTCTTATTATTTTGCACTTTTATTTTGTTGTACCTCTTGTTATTTTCCAATTTTATTTTCCTCTTTTCTTCGCAAACTTCCACTCACCTGCTGTAAAACTGTAAGACGACAGGAGCTCTCAGAACAACATGAAACCTGTCACTTCAAAACAGTCAGGAATTTTACCAAAAACATCATAAACATCTCAGTTAAAGCTCCCGTCTCTAAGTCGATTACATTTTTTTTTACCAGTAGATGGCAGAAACCTGAAACATGTTCCCCCTCCCATCACCTGTCCCCTCCCTCCTCACCTGTCCCCTCCCCTCTCACTGTCCTCTCACCTGTCCCCTCCCCTCTCACCTGTCCTCTCACCAGTCCTCACCTGTCCCCTCACCTCTCACCTGTCCTCTCCCTGTCCCCTCACCTGTCCCCTCACCTGTCCTCTCACCTCCTCACCTGTCCCCTCACCTGTCCCCTGTCCCTCTCACCTGTCCTCTCACCTGTCCTCCCCTCCCTCCTCACCTGTCCCCTCACCTGTCCCTCCCCTCTCACCTGTCCTCTCACCTGTCCCCTCCCTCCTCACCTGTCCCCTCACCTGTCCCCCCCCTCTCACCTGTCTTCTCACCTGTCCCCTCACCTGTCCTCTCACCAGTCCTCTCACCTGTCCCCTCCCCTCTCACCTGTCCTCTCACCTGTCCCCTCCCCTCTCACCTGTCCCCTCACCTGTCCTCTCACCAGTCCTCTCACCTGTCCCTCCCCTCTCACCTGTCCCCTCCCCTCACCTGTCCTCTCACCTGTCCCCTCCCCTCTCACCTGTCCCCTCCCCCTCACCTGTCCCCTCACCTGTCCCGTTCACACTCTGTGGTGTTAAAATTGACTCCTTTGTGTGTTGCAGGTGAAATATAAGAAAGACTTTGAGGAGAGTAAGGGGCGGGGCTTCAGCATGGTCACTGACACGCCCGAACTCCAGAGGCTCCGGAGGACACAAGACGTCATCAGTAATGTAGGAAAAATACTACTACTACTACTACTACTACTACTACTACTACTACTACTACTACTACTACGTGTGTGTGTGTGTGTGTGAATGGGTGAAATCACAGGTGCATTTCCTCAGAGGCTCAAACACAACCAGGAGGTGCTCCGTCTGCGTGAGATCTGTACAGGTGAGTCTGTACAGGTGAGGTCTGTTCAGGTGAGTGTGTACAGGTGAGGTCTTTGCAGGTGAGGTCTGTACAGCTGAAGTCTGTACAGGTGAGGTCTTACAGGTGAGGTGTACAGGAAGTCTGTACAGGTGAGTGTGTACAGGTGAGTCTGTACAGGTGAGTGTGTACAGGTGAGAGTGTACAGGTGAGGTCTGTACAGGTGAGGTCTGTACAGGTGAGTGTGTACAGGTGAGTGTGTACAGGTGAGAGTGTACAGGTGAGAGTGTACAGGTGAGTCTGTACAGGTGAGTGTACAGGTGAGGTCTGTACAGCTGAAGTCTGTACAGGTGAGGTCTGTACAGGTGAGTCTGTACAGGTGAGGTCTGTACAGGTGAGTGTGTACAGGTGAGTGTGTACAGGTGAGTGTGTACAGGTGAGAGTGTACAGGTGAGGTCTGTACAGGTGAGGTCTGTACAGGTGAGTGTGTACAGGTGAGTGTGTACAGGTGAGAGTGTACAGGTGAGTGTACAGGTGTACAGGTGAGAGGTGAGGTACAGGTGACAGGTGAGGTCTGTACAGGTGAGTGTACAGTGAGTGTGTACAGGTGAGAGTGTACAGGTGAGTGTACAGGTGAGGTCTGTACAGGTGAGTGTGTACAGGTGAGTGTGTACAGGTGAGTTGTACAGGTGAGGTCTGTACAGGTGAGGTCTGTACAGGTGAGTCTGTACAGGTGAGAGTGTACAGGTGAGTGTGTACAGGTGAGTGTGTACAGGTGAGGTCTGTACAGGTGAGTGTGTACAGGTGAGGTCTGTACAGGTGAGGTCTGTACAGGTGAGTGTGTACAGGTGAGTTTCAACAGGTGAGTTTCAACAGGTGAGTTTCTATGAATAATGATATAATGTTTCAGTGACAGAACATTTTAAACAGTTTCTGGAGTAAAATAATGAAACTAAAGCCAAACTAACGCCGAGCCACGACTGACGCAGTTTGGGTAATGACTCACACTGGGCACTGACAGTGGATTCTGTTCATCACTCTATTTGTACTTTTGATTTAAACCTTTTTATCTTTTTTCACTCTGAGATTTGAGACTCTCTGGACTCTGCTCTGGACCCGCCCGCAGGTTTAAAGGTGAGGCTCATGTTTCAGGTTTACTTAAAGGAGCTCCACTTCATGTAATAAAAGTAAAACGGTTCAGATGTTTTATTGCAGAAGCGGCTCTGAGGTCAAAATAAATCCTCTTTGTCTGATTTTAAAGAGTTTTATCCTCCACAAACCAGAAAGTAACACTTGTGCATCAAACCTAAACACTAAACCAGGACTAGACCAGGACTAGACCAAGACTAGAGCAGGACTAGAGCAGGACTAGACCAGGACTAGAGCAGGACTAGACCAGGACTAGAGCAGGACTAGACCAGGACTAGAGCAGGACTAGAGCAGGACTAGAGCAGGACTAGAGCAGGACTAGAGCAAGACTAGAGCAAGACTAGAGCAGGACTAGAGCAGGACTAGAGCAGGACTAGAGCAAGACTAGAGCAGGACTAGAGCAGGACTAGACTAGAGCAGGACTAGAGCAAGACTAGAGCAGGACTAGAGCAGGACTAGAGCAGGACTAGACCAGGACTAGACCAGGACAAGACCAAGACTCTGGTCCTGATTCGTGACTGTTGGATGTAAACAGACTCAGTGGGTTTGGCTCTGGCTCAGTCTCACAGAGAGTCTCCATCTGCTCCACTCACAGGGACCAGACACATCTGAGCCCTGTGTGTCAGATGCCCTCCCGTCCTCCCGTCCTCCTGTCCCTGTGAGTCAGATGCCCTCCCAGATGGCGTTCCAGGAGAATGGAGCTTGTCTCTGATGGAAATGATCATGGAAAAACATTTGTGCATTTTTATTTAATTTAATTGTATTACTTTTTAATTCTTTTTCATGGAATATTTCTTGAAAATAAGAATATAATGTGTTTAATTTAGTCTTTTTCAGTTGATTCTCCGGCACGTGGACCAGAGACCCAAGGGCACCGTGGAGATAAGGACTTAAGAGGGTCTAAATGTGGACTCGACCCAGATAAGACCCGGTCTACACCCGGGACTATACAGGTCAGACTCAACCAGAGACCAGAGACAGGACCAGAGACCTGAGACCAGAGACCTGAGACCGGACTAAAGACCTGAGACCTGAGACCGGACCAGAGACCTGAGACCAAGACCAAAGAGATCCAGGACTTCAGTCGAGGTATGTACACGTTTGATCATCTCCATATTTTTACTCCAAGTGACAAAAACTTTATATCGACAATAAAATGATTTGAACATTGAACAGAAGTTACTCGAGTAGAACTTTTCCCAAATACTTTTTACTCTTAAATGAGTCCTGGTCCACGACTTTGTACTTGTACTTGAGTAATATGACAGTCTTATTAACCAGAGGAGAGTCCTGTTGTGATCCTTGAGTCCTCTCTGTTTCTGGACTCTGTGTTTGGACCTCGTGTTTGGACTCTGTGTCTTTGGACTGTGTCTTTGGACTGTGTCTTTGGACTGTGTGTGCGGCGTTTGACTTTGTGGAGAGGACAGTTTGACCTCTGACCTCTGCTCTCACACATGTCCACACGTCCAGGGCTCTGACACGTGCTCCTCATGTCACTCAAACGTAAAAACCAGAGCTGCTCTTCAAACCGTCCTCCTCAGATCTTTGTCCGTGTTCCGGTCGTTTCTTCTCTCTGTCCCTCTGATGTTGTATTTGGAGTGATTCGCGTTTGCGGAATCTTTAATCTCTTATTTTCAAGACGCCATTTTGACACTGTCTCCTCGTTTAGTACAAACCCACTGTGACGTAAACAGAACTGACTCTCGAGAGCTTTTAGTCATGTTCTAATTAGGGCTGGGATAGTTAAGAAGCAGCAGATACGACACACACCTCGATACACTGCACTTTCAGTTTGATATGATATATTTCAAATCAATTAAATATGATTCAGTAAAAAACAAAAGTTAAATCATGTGTGACATTAAAAGTCTTTGTTAAATCACTTCTTGTTCAAATTGAATATGAAAAATGCTAATTTTAATCATGAAAACTGTGAAAATGTCAAATGTGTTGCATAAAAGAGAACAAGCAACAAAATAACAAAATACTCTTGGTGAGATATCGATACAGCAGCCCACGATATCGATACTGTATCATCACATTAAATGATGCAATATATCGATATTTTGATATTTTTGCACAGCTCTAATGCAGCGATGTCCAAACTTTTGTCATCAAGGGTCACATCTCTAAACACAGATGAAGCAGAGATGGATCGAGGCTGTAGACTGGAGCTCAGTACAGAGAATAATTGAAATGTCTGCATGTTTAACACGTTAGAATGATCCGTCAGACTTTATTCACACTAAGATCCTTAAAACCACACACAGTAAATATGAAATATTCGCTTTATCGAGGTAGATTTTCAGCAACTTTGCAATAAAAAGTTAATTTTTAGTTGATGCAAGGTCATTTGGGCCAATTCTCCTGGAAGCCTGAGGGCCAAGAAAAATTTGTTAGAGGACCGCATTTAGCCCACGGGCCATAGTTTGGACATGCCTGGTCTAATGTTCTTACCTCCTCAGAAACAGAGCTGGAGTTGTGTTTGTTTCATTCACACATGTTTGAGTAACTCTTTATTATTAGTCTGTCTACTTCTTTAAAACTCCACCGCTATGTTCCACCTTGTGATGTCATGAAGTGGTGGTTTTCAAGCGAACAGCTTTTTAAATTTTTCCCTTCAGTTCAGTAGAGATCGGCAATTCCAGGGCTGAAATCATCTAAGTGATTCTAATGAAGGTGTGTGGATTTTAAAAATGCAGTGGAGCACTTCCTGTATCACCACATGATGACATCACAAGGTGGAGCAGAGTGTTTTCAGTTTGAGAGAAGAACTCAGCCTAAATGTGCAGGGTTTGTGTGTTAAACATGTGACTGAAACAAAACACAACTCCAGGTCAGAGCAGAGAGCAGAGGATTATGGGACATTGAGTCTCATTTTAAACTACATTAGAACAGAACAGAACAGAGGATTATGGGACATTGAGTCTCATTTTAAACGACATTAGAACAGAGCAGAGGATTATGGGACATTGAGTCTCAGTATAAACTACATTAGAACAGAACAGAGGATTATGGGACATTGAGTCTCATTTTAAACTACATTAGAACAGAGCAGAGGATTATGGGACATTGAGTCTAATTTTAAACTACATTAGAACAGAGCAGAGGATTATGGGACATTGAGTCTCAGTATAAACTACATTAGAACAGAACAGAGGATTATGGGACATTGAGTCTCAGTATAAACGACATTAGAACAGAACAGAGGATTATGGGACATTGAGTCTCAGTATAAACGACATTAGAACAGAGCAGAGGATTATGGGACATTGAGTCTCAGTATAAACACATTAGAACAGACAGAGGATTATGGGACATTGAGTCTCAGAACAGATACATTGAGATACATTAGAACAGAACAGAGGATTATGGGACATTGAGTCTCAGTATAAACTACATTAGAACAGAACAGAGGATTATGGGACATTGAGTCTCAGTATAAACTACATTAGAACAGAACAGAGGATTATGGGACATTGAGTCTCAGTATAAACTACATTAGAACAGAACAGAGGATTATGGGACATTGAGTCTCAGTAATAATGAACAGACATTAGACATGAGTCTCATTAAATACATAGAACAGAGCAGAGGATTATGGGACATTGAGTCTCAGTATAACGACATTAGAACAGAGCAGAGGATTATGGGACATGAGTCTCAGTATAAACTACATTAGAACAGAGCAGAGGATTATGGGACATTGAGTCTCAGTATAAACGACATTAGAACAGAGCAGGGATTATGGGACATTGAGTCTCAGTATAAACATTAGAACAGAGCAGAGGATTATGGACATTGAGTCTCAGTATAAACTACATTAGAACAGAACAGAGGATTATGGGACATTGAGTCTCAGTATAAACGACATTAGAACAGAACAGAGGATTATGGGACATTGAGTCTCAGTATAAACGACATTAGAACAGAACAGAGGATTATGGGACATTGAGTCTCAGTATAAACAACATTAGAACAGAACAGAGGATTATGGGACATTGAGTCTCAGTATAAACGACATTAGAACAGAACAGAGGATTATGGGACATTGAGTCTCAGTATAAACGACATTAGAACAGAAGGGAACAGTGTGAGACGAGACTTTTAAATGTGGCTCTTTCAGGTGAAACATGGAGGAAAACCAGACGTCTTCCTCTGAGGTCACAGGAGTCGAGCTGGAGGACGTGATGAAGACGAGCGAGACAGAACATGGAGCTCTGACCGTCCGAGAACGTGTGGAGTGGACGGAGGAGTGGCACGTGACGGAGGGAGGAGAGGATGTAACGGAGGAGAGAGGAGCTAGTGAGAAAGAGAAAGAGAACATCAGGAGAGGAAGATTAGAAGGAGAGAAGGAAGGAAACAGTGGAAGGGAGGAGGATGTAAGAGACGAGGAGGATGGAGCGAACGACGAGCCAGAAAAGGAAAGAGCAGAGGAGGGGGGAGTGAAAAGTGGGCGAGATGAGGAGGGAGGAGACGAGGAGGGAGAGGAGGAGGAGGGAGTGGACAGTGAGGGTGGAGAGGATAGAGAAGAGGAGGGAGGCGGAGGACAGGATGGAGAGATGGAGGAAAGTGGGAAGAGGAGGAGGAGGAGGAGGAAGCTGGTGGGCGTCTGGGAAACAGAGGTGAGAAACAAATCAGATTAAACGACTTTTTATATCAGACTTTTCTCCAGACGCAAATGAGAAATTAAATAAGATCCTGGTTCAGTCCTGGTTTAGTTTTGGTTTAGACCTAGTTTAGTCCTGTTTTAGTCTTGGTCTAGTCTGGTTTAGTCCTGGTTTTGTCTCTGGTGTAGTCCTGGTTTAGTCCTATTCTAGTCCTGGTTTAATCCTGGTTTAGTCTTGGTTTAGACCTAGTTTACTCTTGGTTTAGTTCTGGTTTAGTCCTGGTTCAGTCCTGGCCTAGTCCTGGTCTAGTCCTGGTTTAGCCCTGGTCTAGTCCTGGTTTAGTCCTGGTCTAGTCCTGGTTTAGTTCTGGTTTAGACCTAGTTTAGTCTTGGTTTAGTTCTGGTTTAGTCCTGGTTCGGTCCTGGTTTAGTCCTGTTTTAGTCCTGTTTTAGTCTTGGTCTAGTCCTGGTTTAGTTCTGATTTAGTCCTGGTTTAGTCCTGTTCTAGTTCTGGTCTAGTCCTGGTCTAGTCCTGGTTTAGTCCTGGTTCAGTCCTGGCCTAGTCCTGGTCTAGTCCTGGTTTAGTCCTTCAGTCCTTTAGTCCTGGTTTAGTCCTGGTGTCCTGGTTAGTCCTGGTTTTAGTCCTGGTTTAGTCCTGGTTTAGTCCTGTTCAGTCCTGGCCTAGTCCTGGTCTAGTCCTGGTTTAGTCGTGGTTCAGTCTTGGTTTAGTCTGGTTTAGTCCTGGTTCAGTCCTGGCCTAGTCCTGGTTCTAGTCCTGGTTTAGTCCTGGTTCAGTCTTGGTTTAGTCCTGGTTTAGTCCTGGTGTAGTTCTGGTTCAGTCCTGGTTTAGTCCTGGTTTAGTCCTGGTTCAGTCTTGGTTAGTCCTGGTTTAGTCCTGGTGTAGTTCTGGTTCAGTCCTGGTTTAGTCCTGGTTTAGTCCTGGTTCAGTCTCTGTTCTTGTTTCAGAGTGGAGTTGAAGTGAAGCCTCCTCTTCCAGACCCGGGGTTCAATCGCAGGTGCAGCCTCCTGCTCAGTGAGGTCTGTGTGTGACAGGGACACTGCACCTGCCACTGTGTGTGTGTGTGTACAGGGACACTGCACCTGCCACTGTGTGTGTGTGTGTGTGACAGGGACACTGCACCTGTCACTGTGTGTGAGTGTGTGACAGGGACACTGCACCTGTCACTGCTGTGTGTGTGTGTGTGACAGGGACACTGCACCTGTCACTCTGTGTGTGTGTGTGTGTGTGTGTGTGTGACAGGGACACTGCACCTGTCACTGTGTGTGTGTGTGTGTGTGTGTCACTGTGTGTGTGTGACAGGGACACTGCACCTGTCACTGTGTGTGTGTGCGTTGTTGTGTGTGTGCACACTGGTCACCATAAGTGTGCAGGAGTGTGTGAGGGCTGTTTGTTCGTTTCCGTGGTTACGCTGTGTGGCAAGATTCCATTTGTGTTTATTTTAAAGATGCACTCTGTAACTTTTCTGGTAGAGTCCATCACCTGTTTTTTTTTTTGCATTAAAGGAGCTCAGTCAGTGTAAAAATACAGATTTTGAAGATATTTTAAACAATAAAACATTGTGTAAATGTTACAGATTTCTACTGTGACTGTGGAACGTCTCATCTCCTGCAGGAACAGACCCACAACAGAAAAGTTTCATAGTGCAGCTTTAAATACATGTAAAAGTCAGATGCAGTTTATGTGTGAACAGAGTTTTGCACCTGTCATTTTCTGGGACTTGTGTGTGAACAGGGCTCTGGTCACATGTGTGTGTGTGTGACAGTGGCATACACAGACTGAGCGTGTGCAGACTGAGCTGTGACGTGTGCAGACTGAGCTGTGACGAGCTGTGACGTGTGCAGACCGAGCTGTGACGTGTGCAGACTGAGCTGTGATGTGTTTCCTGTTTCAGAGTAAATATAAAGAGGACCTGGAGAGGATGAAGGGGCAGAGTCACTTTGTTCCCGCGGCAGAGCTGCTCCACGCCCACAACCTGCGCCCCATCGTCTCTGAGGTCTGCACTACCACACGGGCACACAGGGGGCGCTCTGTTCACCGATCAACACAGTTTAGACATGATTTATGGGCACTCAGGGACCTGTGTGTGCTGTTTTTATACTTAACCAGACAGAATGTGAAGCTCAGAACCTCCAGAGCTCCTCCCTGAGCCGCACAGGCTGCACTAGCATCGGCTCAGATCAAAGAGAAATATTTTAGGTTTAAACTCAGTGGATTTCAGTTTTAAACCAGCAACTCAACTGAGAGTCACGTGAGGCTCATTCTGCTTCTGACTGGAGAACAGAAATACTTTAGACTTCATTTCAATGTTTTTGTAATTAAGAATAAATCAGAATTACAGTTGTGTTTTCCTCACATCTGAGCACACAGAGAAGTCTGTTTATTTTAAAATGTTCAAACTAAATCTTATTTACAATTCCTTTAAGTCTTTGATTTTACACAAAAAAATGAAATTGACTCACACATTTACATGAGAGCTTTAATTCCAATTCAAAATAATTTAATTTGGAATAAAAATAAATTCCGCTTTAAAAGGACCATGTAAACACTTAATTCTGATTTAAGTGAGTGGTTTATTCTCATTTTAAAGCTGAATTAATTTATTCCTAGACGACAGAAAAGCCGGGAGCAGCTGAAGTGTTTTTCTTCCCAAAGACGTAAATCTGTTTGTGTCTCTGTCCAATCAGAACCTCCCCCCAGACGCTCACACACATTAAATAATTAAAGACGATTTAAAGTGTAAACCTTAATTCAGAATTATTATTTCCCTGTAAACTCAAAGGAGAATATTTTAACTCTGAACTATTTAATTCAGATCAATTAATTTGGAATTAAAAAGCATCATGTAAACGTGTTAAAACAAAACTCAGATTAGAGTCTAACTGGAGTAACAGCTTCAGACAGAGCAGTGCCTCCTGTTAGCTTCAGCCCCAGGGCATGATGGGAAAGTGTCCTCACGTACGTCCTCGTGTGTGTGTGTGTGTGTGTGTGTGTGTGTCGTCTCAGAGTCAGTACAGAGCCGAGGGGCTGAAGGAGGCGTCCATGTCTCTGTACTCGGTTTTACCCGAGACTCCGGAGACGCTCAGAGCCAAAGAGACCAGCCAGCTCCAGAGTCAGGTACGGCTCCTACGGCTCACACTCCTGCTCTCTGTGTGTGTGTGTGTGTGTGTGTGTGGCAGAGTGGTTATCCTCTGTGTGTGTGTGCAGGTGAAGTACAGGGGCGGCTGGAGACAGGACAGCTCCTCGTCTCTCTTCAGTCTCCTCCCGGAAACGACCGAGACTCAGTTCAACAAAGAGCTGCAGGAGCACATCAGTGAGGTGAACATTTATTATTACAAACCACAAGATTTAAACACTTTTATCAGGTTCTTCATCTTGTTTTTCAGTTTTATTCTCTACTTACTCGTTCTGAACTGGTTGTTTAATCTTTAAAAATGTCACATTTATTTCTTCCTTGACTCAGTTAGACAGAAAAAGTTAAATTTAGGTAATAAATGTTTAAAAGAAGCAACAATCCATTTACCAGAGTTTTCCCCTGAAACACTTCACTTGTTTTTAGATTATTAATCTCATATAAAACTGACTTCAAGTATTTTTTGGACAATAAGTCACTCCGGAGTAGGGATGGGCATTCGATTAAATGTTCTTAATCGATCATCAGGAGAATTAACGATCGATTATCAATTAATCATTAACCTTTTTATATTAAAATGATCAGCATTATTATTACTATCTGCACTAATCTGCATAAATAAATTCAACTTTACGACATATAAACATAACGACTCATCAGCTGTTTGACATTATAATGTGTTTAATTCAGTTTTGTTCAAATCTCACAGAAACAAAACTTAAATCCACATGGCTCATTTGCATAAACTAAGCAAAGAAAAAATAACAGCTCTTGTGTCGCTGATGTGGTTCAACTTCTGTCGGACTAAAGGACACGACTCAGTGGAATATATCGGCCGTAAGATGAACCAGTGTTTGTGCTTTCAGACGCAGCCTCGTCTCCTTACACACCAGATGTTTTTGTCCAAACCAGGACACCGTACGGGGGGAGGGGGGCGGGGCCTCGTCGTCCACATTGAGCGACTCTCACCTGGAAAAACTTCTTCATGTTTTTCGGTGTCCTGGTGCTTTGAGGTCGCTGACACCACCAGCACATATCACTGTGCACATGGATCACACTTGTTTCGACCGGGACTGAAAACGGGGAATTTCTTGAACAAATCGTCGTTAAATGTGCATTTGTGCTTCGACGTGTTACAGACTGACCCACTGTTTGTGTCTCGCTCCTTCTGATGCACAGACGCTACGAGAGACGCTCAGTTTAATGTCTCCAATGAAAGGAAATGAAAACCCAGACATTTTAAGTGGCACTTTTTGGGGGAAGTTTATTTTATAAAATTAGAAACGAGAATGAACATTTCCTGTGTAAAGTGAAGTTGTAGTAAAAACAACAGAACAGAGAACAACAGACTGTTAATGTCACATATGAACAGTTCTTCACATAAACTATAACATAAACAACAGAACAGAACAAGTTTAACCAAACTCTCCATCTCACTCCAAATCACTAAATCCATTCAATTCTTCATCCTCGGTGTCACTTCTGAACAACTCGGCCTCGACCTCTGGAGGTAAACGTTGCGTCTCTTCCTCTTCTGTGTCGCTGTCGTCAGACTCAGCATCAGTTCCAGTTAGAATTATTCTGGTCTTTCTGAATCTCGACAGGATGGTTTCGGTGCCACTGAAGTCCAGACTTTGTCCGTCCATCCAGTGACTTCAGGAAAGTTTCATGGTGCATCCTCCCGCTGTCACAAGTTTCTCTCTCACTCCAAACTTTCTTTCTGCTGCTCGATTATCGTTTTCAGCTGCAGATTTCACGACTCGCAGCAGGACAGAGGCTCTTTCTGCAGGAGACATGCGCAGGAGAGTGAAGTGACAGTGGTGCAGGAGGAACAGGAGCAGCAGATCCTCACACACAAGACTAGAACCTCTCCACACTTCACTCAAACATTTTAATAGAGAAAAAGTCAAACCATGAAAAAGTGACACTTATAGTCCAAAAAATACGCTACTTCTGTCTAGAATTTAGCAGAATTTAAAGCATTTTATCTAGAATTTTGCACCTGAGAACTTATTATCAAGCCTTAAACACTGATCCTAAACTGGTTTCAAGTCTGTTTATCTAAAATTTTGCATCATAAACTTATTTCCAGCTCATGAACACTGGTCACAGACTCTTCTTTCTAGTCGAGAGTTTGTTTATTTTAAGAGAACTTGTCAAGTAAATAGATTTTGCTCCATGGACAGATCATTTTTAAGTCATTTTCTGATCGATTTAAGTGTTTGTATCTTAAATTTTGGCCAAGCTTTTCTGCAGTGAAGTGTCTGAGTCTGATTTTTACTGTGTCAAAAACCAGAAAACCAGAACTAGTTCATAATAAACAGTTTGCAGTGCTCCAGAGTTCCTCCTCACCTCCCTCTTGCACTCAGAGCGTCTTCATTATTCACCAGGATGAGTTTGTGAGAGCTCAGTACGAGTCTGTCCCGTGTTTGTGTTTCACTAAGACATTTGTGTTTTTGTGTTCAGAATAAATACTACGAGGAGGGTCGGTGGGAACGCCGCACCTCCCTGTACGCCCTGCTGCCCGAGACCAGCCAGACCCAACACGCAAAGAACCTGATGCCCTTCCAGAGCCAGGTGACCGCGACCAGTCCAGTCTAGTCCAGTTTAGTCCCGACGCTCGTGGTCCAGTCCAGTCCTGATGATCACAGTCCAGTCCAGATGCTCATAGTTCTGCTTAACAAAATGAACATAATTTTGTTTGGTCCTGCCCTGAGAGCAAGAAGAAGTTGTTCTGTTCTTGTGAAGTGTGAATAGGCCTTTATGTGTTTTTATTTGTATTTCAGATCAAATACACGGAGGAGGGACAGAGGAAGAAGTCTGTGTCACTTTACTCTCGTCTGTCTGACACTCCAGAGATCCAGCACGCTCTAGAGCTCACCCAGCTGCAGAGCGAGGTACTGCGCCCACAACAGCGCCCCCTGCAGCTCGGAGCCTCCTGCAGCTCGGAGCCTCCTGCAGCTCGGAGCCTCCTGCAGCTCGGAGCCTCCTGCAGCTCGGAGCGCTCCTCTCTCAGTCTGTGTTTCACTTTCTCTCGTGTTTCCAGGTGAATTATCGTCCCAAGCTCCTGGTGAAGGGGGCGCCGTCGTCTCTGTACTCTCAGCTGCCCGATACTCAGGACGTGCAGTTCGCCAAAGAGATGAGCCTCATGTACAGCCAGGTAACACACGCAGACAGGTGCAGACAGGTGCAGACAGGTGCCACACACTGCAGTCTGTGGACAGTGCTCTGACAGTCTTCTCTCTCGGTCTCTGTGTCTCAGGGCAGGTACGTGGAGGACGGCAGGAGGAGCCTGTCCCAGACTCTGTTCCATCACCTGCCTCAGACCCTCCAGACTCAACACGCACGAGCTGTGGGAGAGCTGCAGAGCCAGGTGAGACTCTCCTGAGATACACCTTGGTTAGATCTGGCTTGGTCCTGGTTCAGTCCTGGTTTAGACCTGGGTTAGACCTTGTTTAGACCTGGTTTAGTTCTGACTCTGTCCTCTTGTGCAGCTGCACTATAAAGACTCGGGTCCAAACTCCAGTCTGTTCTCTGTTCTGCCTGAGACTCTGGACACGGTTCACGCCAAACTCACCTCTGAGCTCGTCAGCCAGGTAAGCCCCACCCCCATACACACCTGTCCTCTAGCCCCGCCTCCTCACCTGTCCTCACCTGTGTGTGTCTCAGGTGAAGTACAGAGAGGAGGGTCTGAAGGAGCAGAGACTCAGCCTGTTCTGTGTGCTGCCCCACACTCTAGACACACAACACGCCAAGGACGCCTCCCACCTGCACAGCCAGGTACTGCACCTGCCCACCTGCCCACCTGCCACACACACCCTCCTCTACGTGTGTGTCAGGTGTTGTGTTGTGTGTTTGTGACAGGTGAAGTACAGGGGCAGTGTGATGCAGCAGAATCAGATCAGTCTGTTCCAGCGTCTGGCCCAGACTCCTGTCACTCAGAGAGCCAAAGAAGTGTCAGAGCTGCTCAGTGAGGTACACACACACACACACACACACACACACACACACACACGTGTGTGCCGTGTCCCTCCTGAGCGCCCTCTTGTGTCTCTCAGGTGAAGTACAGACAGGCTGGAAAGAAGGACCTGCGCTGCCCGCTGTACCACCTGCTCCCACACACCCTGGACACTCTGCACGCCAAAGAGGCCGAAGACACACTCAGCGAGGTACACACACACACACACACACACACACTCAGCGAGGTACACACACACACACACACACACACACACACACACACACACACTCACACACACATACACACACATACACACACTCAGCGAGGTACACACACACACACACACTCACACACACTCAGCGAGGTACACACACACACACTCACACACACACACACTCACACACACTCACACACACACACACACACACACACACTCACACACACACACTACACACACACACACACTCACACATACACACACACACTCACACACACACACACACACTCACACACATACACACACACACTCACACATACACACACACACTCACATACACACACACGCACTCACACACACTCACATACACACATACACACACTCACACACATACACACACACACTCAGCGAGGTACACACACACACTCACACACACACACTCACACACACACACACACACACACACACACATACACACACTCACACACACACACATACACACACTCAGCGAGGTACACACACACACACATGCATAACACACACACTCAGTGAGGTACACACACATACACACACACACACACTCAGCGAGGTACACACACACACACACACACACACACACACACACACCACTCAGTGAGGTACACACACACACGCACACACACACACTCACACACACTCAGTGAGGTGCACACACACACACGCACACACACACACACACACTCAGCGAGGTACACACACACACACACACACACACACACACATACACACACTCACACACACACACATACACACACTCAGCGAGGTACACACACACACACACACATGCAAAACACACACACTCAGTGAGGTACAAACACATAACACACACACACGCAGGTACACACTGGTCAGTGTTTGGACAATCTTCTTGTAAAGTTCCCGGTTGTGTGTGTGTTTGTGTGTGTGTGTTTGTGTGTGTGTGTTTCAGCTGAAGTACCGACACAAGGACCTGAGTTCTTCTGTTTATTCCACTCTGAGTGAAACCAACGAGATGCTCTTCGCCCGACAGACCAGAGACGCCATCAGTGAGGTCACTGCAACATCAGACTTTATTTAGACCTGCTTTAGTCCTGGTTTAGTCCTGGTTCAGTCCTGGTTTAGTTCTTAGTCCAGCTGTGGTGTGTGCAGGTGAAATACCGTGAGGATGGGAGGAGAGGACTGTCTCAGAGCTTCTACTCTCAGCTCCCTCAGACCACAGACACTGAGTTCAACCAGAGGATCTCCACTCTGCAGAGTCAGGTGAGAGAGAGGCATCATGGGAGATGGAGTCCTGCTCAGTCACATGTCTGTGGTTAACCTGCAGATGTTGTGTGTGTTATTGTGTCAGATGTCGTACCGGAGGTCCCTGAGGAACGCTCCCTCTCTGTACTCGACTCTGGCTCAGACTCTGGAGACGAAACACGCCAAAGAGGCGTCTCAGCTGCTCAGCCAGGTACAGCTCGTGTTTTAGAACGAGACGAGAAAGACGCTCAACCAGTGAAAGTCTTTACACTCGACTAACGCTACACAATTTCAGCTGTGGATGAAATGAAAGATGGAAACTTAAACACATATTAAAGATCTGTTGTGGTGTTTGTGTTTCAGCGTCTTTACAAACAGAAGCCTGGCCCCGCCCTCTTCCACCTGATGCCCCGGACTCTGGACATGGCCCACGCCCGAGAGCAGAGCGAGCAGATCAGTGACGTACGCTGCACACGATACTGTCAGCTCTCCTCGCTTCCTTCTCCTCGGTTCCTTTCCTCGAACCTCCAGTTTTCAGTTTTCAGTCAAAAGTGGCGACCGCAGAGTGAAGTAGAAAACCTGAGGAGGCTTCAGGAGCCGACGCAGAGAAAAGAATCAAACTGTATCTGTCTCAGTGAAGAGTTTAGATCCTCTCTCCTCCCTGTGTCTCCTCTGTGGGCGAAACTTCCTCACACATTTCCTGCAGAATCGAGGAGAAGGAAGCGAGGAAAGAGAAATAAGTCTCAGCCTTAGTCTCACTGTTATTGATCCTTTGCAGTCGTCACTTTTTTGACTGTAGTTTTATTTGAGAGGGATTTGTTCTGCTCACCTGTTGGAGCTCAGGTCAGTCAGGTCTTTCTACTAGGCCAGGACAACACTAAGACCTCTGAGGGTCGAGACCGAGATAAGACCAAGACCACGGCCCATCAAGACCAAATCGAGACCATCTTTGTAATTTTCAATATTTATTTGTATTTTACAGTAATTTTAGTACATTTATATTAATGCTTTTTATAAATCTATCTCCATTTTATCACTTGTCGAGTGTCAGACCTCGAGACCGAGACAAGACCGAGTCCAAATGCAGTCAAGTCCGAGACCAAGACTGTAAAATAAAGGTCTCGAGACCAAGAACAGTCTTGAATACTACGACTCTGTTGTCTGGTCAGATTGTGCTCAAATAAAGTTCAGATTAAAGTTTAACTGGAGTCTCAGAGCCTCAGACAGAGCAGAGCCTTCAGTTAGCGTCAGACTCCCAGAGAACGTTGATGAAATCAGGATCAATAACGACATGATCTGAAGTTTGGTGGTTCATTCACTGTGTTCCCCGTCCTGAGCCTGCTGCTGTTGTGCCTTTGAGCAGCGCACTGGGCTCCTCTGAGCGTCTCTGTGTGTGTCTCAGGTGAAGTACAGAGAGGAGGGTCTGAAGGAGCAGAGACTCAGCCTGTTCTGTGTGCTGCCCCACACTCTAGACACACAACACGCCAAGGACGCCTCCCACCTGCACAGCCAGGTACTGCACCTGCCCACCTGCCCACCTGCCACACACACCCTCCTCTACGTGTGTGTCAGGTGTTGTGTTGTGTGTTTGTGACAGGTGAAGTACAGGGGCAGTGTGATGCAGCAGAATCAGATCAGTCTGTTCCAGCGTCTGGCCCAGACTCCTGTCACTCAGAGAGCCAAAGAAGTGTCAGAGCTGCTCAGTGAGGTACACACACACACACACACACACACACACACGTGTGTGCCGTGTCCCTCCTGAGCGCCCTCTTGTGTCTCTCAGGTGAAGTACAGACAGGCCGGAAAGAAGGACCTGCGCTGCCCGCTGTACCACCTGCTCCCACACACCCTGGACACTCTGCACGCCAAAGAGGCCGAAGACACACTCAGCGAGGTACACACACACACACACACACACTACACACACATACACACATACACACACACACACTCAGCGAGGTACACACACACACTCACACACACACTCAGCGAGGTACACACACACACACACACACACACACACACACACTCAGGTACACACTGGACAGTGTTTGGACAATCTTCTTGTAAAGTTCCCGGTTGTGTGTGTGTGTTTGTGTGTGTGTGTGTGTGTGTGTGTGTGTGTGTGTGTGTGTGTGTGTGTGTGTGTGTGTGTGTGTTTCAGGTGAAGTACCGACACAAGGACCTGAGTTCTTCTGTTTATTCCACTCTGAGTGAAACCAACGAGATGCTCTTCGCCCGACAGACCAGAGACGCCATCAGTGAGGTCACTGCAACATCAGACTTTATTTAGACCTGCTTTAGTCCTGGTTTAGTCCTGGTTCAGTCCTGGTTCAGTCCTGGTTTAGTCCTGGTTTAGTCCTGGTTCAGTCCTGGTTTAGTCCTGGTTCAGTCCTGGTTCAGTCCTGGTTTAGTTCTTAGTCCAGCTGTGGTGTGTGCAGGTGAAATACCGTGAGGATGGGAGGAGAGGACTGTCTCAGAGCTTCTACTCTCAGCTCCCTCAGACCACAGACACTGAGTTCAACCAGAGGATCTCCACTCTGCAGAGTCAGGTGAGAGAGAGGCATCATGGGAGATGGAGTCCTGCTCAGTCACATGTCTGTGGTTAACCTGCAGATGTTGTGTGTGTGTTATTGTGTCAGATGTCGTACCGGAGGTCCCTGAGGAACGCTCCCTCTCTGTACTCGACTCTGGCTCAGACTCTGGAGACGAAACACGCCAAAGAGGCGTCTCAGCTGCTCAGCCAGGTACAGCAGCACAACTCTGCACTTATCCTGTTAGAATGTTGTGGATTTTGCTTCATGCTCTCGTGTTTCGTTGTCATCTTCTCTGAGCCTCAGAAAGCCTCAGGGTAAATTTTCCCAGAATAGTTGGTCATAGGTAGAAATCCTGTACAGTTTTAAGTCCATGAATCATCACCAGACTCATTTCAGCTCTGTGTTTATATCAGCATGTACTGAGCTTTTTTGTTTGTTTTTTTGTCTTTTTCATGGTTGTTCCTACAGGGTTTTCACCGTATTATTTTTTGTAGTGAGCAGCAGATGTTTATTTCTGTGTTTTTATTGTTGAAAAATGTCTGCATGAAACTTTTAAACCCTGAGTCTGAATTTGTGAAGAATCACAGTAAGTACAGAGCAGTGGGCGGGGACAGGGGGGAGGGGAAAACTGACATTTTCTAAGCACTCAAGCCTCAATTCAGAACAATCCAGGATTATTCAAACGCGGAGGAGTCAGTCTGAATACAGTGAGATCATGTTGAGGGAAAAACTGTTACGACGACTTAAAGATCAAAACGTCTCTTTGCTCTGATCTGCCCCATGATGTATGAAAGTGTTTAGTTTTCCTGATCTGTTGTGGTGTTTGTGTTTCAGCGTCTTTACAAACAGAAGCCTGGCCCCGCCCTCTTCCACCTGATGCCCCGGACTCTGGACATGGCCCACGCCCGAGAGCAGAGCGAGCAGATCAGTGACGTACGCTGCACACGCTGCTCTTACACTCACTGTTAGAACGAGAAACATTTGAGTGTCAAAAGTTTGAAGATTTGTTTAAAAATATGAATCTCCTGTCAAGTTATAAAAGCACAACATCTGAGACTATGTCAGCGTCAGATTGTAGAAGGTGGACGTGAGCTGCTGCTGTTGTGCCTTTGAGCAGCGCACTGGGCTCCTCTGAGCGTCTCTGTGTGTGTCTCAGGTGAAGTACAGAGAGGAGGGTCTGAAGGAGCAGAGACTCAGCCTGTTCTGTGTGCTGCCCCACACTCTAGACACACAACACGCCAAGGACGCCTCCCACCTGCACAGCCAGGTACTGCACCTGCCCACCTGCCCACCTGCCACACACACCCTCCTCTACGTGTGTGTCAGGTGTTGTGTTGTGTGTTTGTGACAGGTGAAGTACAGGGGCAGTGTGATGCAGCAGAATCAGATCAGTCTGTTCCAGCGTCTGGCCCAGACTCCTGTCACTCAGAGAGCCAAAGAAGTGTCAGAGCTGCTCAGTGAGGTACACACACACACACACACACACACACACACACGTGTGTGCCGTGTCCCTCCTGAGCGCCCTCTTGTGTCTCTCAGGTGAAGTACAGACAGGCTGGAAAGAAGGACCTGCGCTGCCCGCTGTACCACCTGCTCCCACACACCCTGGACACTCTGCACGCCAAAGAGGCCGAAGACACACTCAGCGAGGTACACACACACACACACACACACACACACACACACATACACACACACACACACACACACACACACACACACACACACACACACTCAGCGAGGTACACACACACACACACACTCAGCGAGGTACACACACACACATACACACACACACACACACTCAGCGAGGTACACACACACACACACACATACACACACACACACACACACTCAGCGAGGTACACACACACACACACACACTCAGCGAGGTACACACACACACACACACACTCAGCGAGGTACACACACACACACACACACTCAGCGAGGTACACACACACACACACACACACACCACACATTACACACACACACACACTCAGCGAGGTACACACACACACACACACACACTCAGTGACTTACACACACATAACACACACACACACTCAGCGAGGTACACACACACACACACACACTCAGCGAGGTACACACACACACTCAGTGACTTACAAACACATAACACACACACACACTCAGCAAGGTACACACACACACACACACTCAGTGACTTACAAACACATAACACACACACACACTCAGCGAGGTACACACACACACACACATACACACACTCAGCGAGGTACACACACACACACACACACACACACACACTCAGCGAGGTACACACACACACACACACACACACATCAGCGAGGTACACACACACACACTCACACTCAGCGAGGTACACACACACACACACTCACACACACTCAGCGAGGTACACACACACACACACATACACACTCACACTCACCGAGGTACACACACACACACTCACACACACTCAGCGAGGTACACACACACACACACATACACACACACACACACACTCAGCGAGGTACACACATACACACACACATACACACACTCAGCGAGGTACACACACATACACACACACTCACACTCAGCGAGGTACACACACACACACACACACTCAGCGAGGTACACACACACACACACACACACACACACACTCAGCGAGGTATACACACACACACACACATAACACACACACATACTCACACTCAGCGAGCTACACACTGGTCAGTGTTTGGATGATCTTTTTGTAAAGTTCCTGTTTATTTTTATTTTATTTCTTTATTTATTTGGGACAGAGTTCATGGACAAACGTGACACAACACGAGTGTAAACACCAGACTGTCCACTGAGACTCATTTCTGTCTGTTCCCAAAGGGCCGAGGTCACAGGGGCCAAACAATCAAATATTGCACACTCCAATTATTGCACAGTAACCATTATTGCACACTCCACTGTGTGTGTGCATGTGTGTGTGTGTGTGTGTGTGTGTGTGTGTGTGTGTGTGTGTGTGTGTGTGTGTGTGTGTGTGTGTTTCAGGTGAAGTACCGACACAAGGACCTGAGTTCTTCTGTTTATTCCACTCTGAGTGAAACCAACGAGATGCTCTTCGCCCGACAGACCAGAGACGCCATCAGTGAGGTCACTGCAACATCAGACTTTATTTAGACCTGCTTTAGTCCTGGTTTAGTCCTGGTTCAGTCCTGGTTTAGTTCTTAGTCCAGCTGTGGTGTGTGCAGGTGAAATACCGTGAGGATGGGAGGAGAGGACTGTCTCAGAGCTTCTACTCTCAGCTCCCTCAGACCACAGACACTGAGTTCAACCAGAGGATCTCCACTCTGCAGAGTCAGGTGAGAGAGAGGCATCATGGGAGATGGAGTCCTGCTCAGTCACATGTCTGTGGTTAACCTGCAGATGTTGTGTGTGTGTTATTGTGTCAGATGTCGTACCGGAGGTCCCTGAGGAACGCTCCCTCTCTGTACTCGACTCTGGCTCAGACTCTGGAGACGAAACACGCCAAAGAGGCGTCTCAGCTGCTCAGCCAGGTACAGCTCGTGTTTTAGAACGAGACGAGAAAGACGCTCAACCAGTGAAAGTCTTTACACTCGTCTAACGCTGCACAAGTTTCAGCTGTGGATGAAATGAAAGACGGAAACTTAAACACATATTAAAGTGTTTTCCTGATCTGTTGTGGTGTTTGTGTTTCAGCGTCTTTACAAACAGAAGCCTGGCCCCGCCCTCTTCCACCTGATGCCCCAGACTCTGGACATGGCCCACGCCCGAGAGCAGAGCGAGCAGATCAGTGACGTACGCTGCACACGCTGCTCTTACACTCACTGTTAGAACGAGAAACATTTGAGTGTCAAAAGTTTGAAGATTTGTTTAAAAACATGAATCTCCTGTCAAGTTATAAAAGCACAACATCTGAGACTATGTCAGCGTCAGATTGTATCAATCAATCAATCAATCAAACTTTATTTGTATAGCACTTTTCATACATTTGAAATGTAGCACAAAGTGCTTCACATGCAACAGAAACATTTTTAATACATTAATTAACACACACACACACCCCCCCCCCCATACCACAATTTAAACAGAAACATAAAAACTACAAAACTAATAAACATAAAGCTCTTAAAAGTTATAGTAAAAATTAAAAGTGTATAGCTAAGACCAGATGGAGACAAAATAAAATAGTAATGATAATTTAATTTAAAACTACCATAATAATAACAATAATAATGATAATTTAAGTTAAAACAGGTAAAAGTTTCAGTTAAAAGCTAAATTAAAAAGATATGTTTTAAGTTTACTTTTAAAAATATGAACACTCGCAGCGGACCTCAGATCCTCAGGCAGACTGTTCCACAGACGGGGGCCGTAAAAGCTAAAAGATGCCTCACCGTGAGTTTTAGTTTGAACTCTTGGGACAGCTAAAAGGAGACTACCTGAGGACCTGAGAGTCCGAGAGGGCTCATATGATAAAAGCAGATCAGATAAATAAATAGGACTAAGACCATTAAGAGCTTTATAAACCAATAAAAGAACTTTAAAATCTATCCTGAAGCTCACAGGAAGCCAGTGCAGAGACTTCAGTACTGGGGTGATGTGCTCTCGCTTCCTGGTCCTTGTCAGCAGTCGTGCTGCAGAGTTTTGGAGGAGCTGCAATGGAGCTGTAGATTTCTTTGGAAGACCAGAAAGGAGAGCATTACAGTAATCAACGCGATTTGTAATAAAAGCATGTATTAAAGTCTCTGCACTGGCTTGAGAAAGAAAAGGTCTGACTCTGGCAATATTTTTTAGATGATAAAAACCAGATTTAGTGATGGACCTGATGTGTGGCTCAAAGCTAAGCTCACTGTCAAGAATAACTCCTAAACTTTTCACCCTCTCACAGGGGTTCAGTGAGTAGGTTTGGAGCTTAGCTTTGAGCCTCTCTCTCTGAGCTTCAGGACCAATAATTAAAACCTCAGTTTTGCCCTGGTTGAGCTGGAGGAAGTTTGCTGCCATCCAGGACTTAATATCTAAAATGCAGTTAAAAAGGGTATCGATCGAGCTCATTGTAGAAGGTGGACGTGAGCTGCTGCTGTTGTGCCTTTGAGCAGCGCACTGGGCTCCTCTGAGCGTCTCTGTGTGTGTCTCAGGTGAAGTACAGAGAGGAGGGTCTGAAGGAGCAGAGACTCAGCCTGTTCTGTGTGCTGCCCCACACTCTAGACACACAACACGCCAAGGACGCCTCCCACCTGCACAGCCAGGTACTGCACCTGCCCACCTGCCCACCTGCCACACACACCCTCCTCTACGTGTGTGTCAGGTGTTGTGTGTCAGATGCCCTGATGTCCTGTTGTGTTTCAGGTTTGGCACAGGGGCAGTTGGAGGCAGCCCGCTCTGTTCCACACTTTACCTCAGACTCTGGAGACTCAACACGCCGCTCAGGCCGCTCAGCTGCTCAACCAGGTACCACCTAACCCCTCCCCCTCTCTGTTTACCACCTAACCCCTCCCCACCTGTGTACCACCTAACCCCTCCCCCTCTGTTTACCACCTAACCCCTCCCCCTCTCTGTTTACCACCTAACCCCTCCCCACCTGTGTACCACCTAACCCCTCCCCCTCTGTTTAACATCAGTGTCAATATTTGTGTATTTACCTTCACTGAAAAATACAATTTCCTCTACAGGAAATCTGAAAACACCGATTCCTCTGTCCTCACATGTCTGTCTCTTTGTCTCTCTCTTGTCTCTCTCTCTCTGTCTCTCTGTGTCTCTCTATCTCTCTTTCTTTGTGTCTCTGTCTCTCTCTGTCTCTCTTGTCTCTGTCTGTGTCCCTCTGTCCTCAGCGCTTGTACCAGGCGGCTGTGAGGAAATCTCTGTCTCGTCCTCTTTATCATCAGCTTCAGGAGACTCTGGAAATTCAACAGGCTCGAGAACTCACACAGCTCTACAGCCAGGTCAGACACAGACCGGGGCATCTGGTTTAGATGAGACTTAGGTTTGGTTTAGTCCTGGTTCAGTCCTGGTTTAGTTCTTAGTCCAGCTGTGGTGTGTGCAGGTGAAATACCGTGAGGATGGGAGGAGAGGACTGTCTCAGAGCTTCTACTCTCAGCTCCCTCAGACCACAGACACTGAGTTCTACCAGAGGATCTCCACTCTGCAGAGTCAGGTGAGAGAGAGGCATCATGGGAGATGGAGTCCTGCTGGTTTAGTACTGGTTTAGTCCTGGTTTAGTCCTGGTCTCACACAGACTCTGTTGTGGTGCAGGTGGAGTACAGCAGGGGGCGCTCTGGTCCGTGTCTGTTCTCGTCTCTTCCTCAGACTTTGGACACGCTCAGAGCCAAAGAGCTTTCCCTGATCCAGAGCCAGGTACAAAAACACAAACTGCCCTCACTCACGTACGACGACTGTTTCTATCCGTGTGCACTGCTGTGTCTGAGCTGTGACGTGTGGAGCAGGTGCAGTACCGGCAACGGGCACAGAGGGCGCTCTACTCGTCTCTGCCTCAGACCCTGGACACGCAGAGGGCCAGAGCGCTCACACAAGTCCTCAGCCAGGTACCCACAAAACACAACACACACACAGAGGGCCAGAGTGCTCACACAAGTCCTCAGCCAGGTACCTACAAAACACAACACACACACGCAACACACACAGAGGGCCAGAGCGCTCACACAAGTCCTCAGCCAGGTACCCACAAAACACACAACACACACACATGCAACACACACACAGAGGGCCATAGCGCTCATACAAATCCTCAGCCAGGTATCCACAAAACACAACACACACAACACACACACAGAGGGCCAGAGCGCTCATACAAATCCTCAGCCAGGTATCCACAAAACACAACACACACAACACACACACAGAGGGCCAGAGCGCTCACACAAGTCCTCAGCCAGGTACCCACAAAACACAACACACACACACTCACGCAACACACACAGAGGGCCAGAGCACTCACAAAACTCCTCAGCCAGGTACCCACAAAACACACACACACAACACACACACTGAGGGCCAGAGCGCTCACACAAGTCCTCAGCCAGGTACCCACAAAACACAAAACACACACACACGCAACACACACAGAGGGCCAGAGCACTCACAAAACTCCTCAGCCAGGTATCCACAAAACACACACACACACACACACAAACTGAGGGCCAGAGCGCTCACACAAGTCCTCAGCCAGGTACCCACAAAACACACAACACATGCATAACACACCCAAAACAATATAAAAAGAGATTGTGTAAAAACAAAGTTCAGTACTGGAGCTTCAGACAGAGCAGTGCTTCAGTTAGCGTCACCTTCAGGTGAATCCTGATTTTTCAGCTTTAATTTATTTGTTTGTTGTTCAGGTGAAGTACAAACAGGGAGTGAGTTGTCAGCCGCTTTACCACTTGCTCCCTGAAACCCCAGAGACCGACTTCGCCAAAAACATGTCCGAGATCCAGAGCCAGGTACAGACCTCACTGTGTGTACTCAACATAGTCCTGAGTCAGTCCTGGTTTAGTCCTGGGTCAGTCCTGGTTTAGTCCTGGTTTCAGGTGTTGTACAGGAGGGTGTGAGGTTGTTGTGTAGATGTTTCAGTGTGTGTTGTGTGTTTCAGTGTGTGTAGATGTTTCAGTGTGTGTAGATGTTTCAGTGTGTGTTGTGTGTTTCAGTGTGTGTTGTATGTTTCAGTGTGTGTTGTATGTTTCAGTGTGTGTTGTGTGTTTCAGTGTGTGTTGTATGTTTCAGTGTGTTGTAGTGTTTTCAGTGTGTGTTGTGTGTTTCAGTGTGTGTTGTGTGTTTCAGTGTGTGTAGATGTTTCAGTGTGTGTTGTATGTTTCAGTGTGTGTTGTGTGTTTCAGTGTGTGTTGTGTGTTTCAGTGTGTGTAGTGTGTGTTTCAGTGTGTGTTGTATGTTTCAGTGTGTGTTGTATGTTTCAGTGTGTGTTGTGTGTTTCAGTGTGTGTTGTGTGTTTCAGTGTGTGTTGTATGTTTCAGTGTGTGTTGTATGTTTCAGTGTGTGTTGTATGTTTCAGTGTGTGTTGTGTGTTTGTCAGTGTGTGTTGTGTGTGTTGTAGTGTGTGTGTGTTTCAGTGTGTGTTGTATGTGTTTCAGTGTGTGTTGTGTGTTTCAGTGTGTGTAGTGTGTGTTTCAGTGTGTGTTGTGTGTTTCAGGTGTCGTACAGGAGGGAGCTGGAGGAGCAGAGTCACAGTTTGTTTTCTGCTCTGCCTCAGACTCTCACCACAGAGTTTGTGAAGGACATAAACCAAACACACAACCAGGTACACACACACACACACATCTATACACACACCTATATATACACACACACACATCTATACACACACACACACACAGTGACGATAAAGAGACAAATGGAAGAAATTCATGGAGGGAGAGTCGACGACATCAAGACAAGTTTGAGAAAGACAAAAGGTCGAGATCGAGGAATAAATAAATAAATAAATTCATCTTTAAAATCTGAATAAACCTCTCACTTTACTCTTTACATATGTCCATTTTCATCAGGAATGAAGTGTTCACAGCAGAATTCATTTTTATTCAGAATTAAATTATTTTAATTCGGCATTAAATCTGTCGTGTAAACGTGTCAATTGTCTGTGATTGTTAAGAGTCGCTCCTGGTTCTTATCGGACTAAATGCCTCTCAGTCCATCCCCTCGTGTTTTGTCTCCTGTTATCAGTGAGACGCTGATAAGTGACACCCGCAGAGTCAGCCAATCAGAGCGAGCGGTGGGCGGGGCCTTGAGCGGGTGGTGGGCGGGGCCGTGTACTCTGCTTTAAATGTCCCGACGTCGTGTGAGTTTGTGTTGTTTTTCAGGTGAAGTATCGACTGGAGGCAAAGCAGCAGCTGCAGGGGGCGCTGTTCACAAAACTGCCCCAAACTCTGGAACTACAGCGACTCAAAGAGAGCGGACGCCTGCACAGCCAGGTGAGACCCAGGGAGACCGGGTTAGACCAGGGTTAGACTGGGGTTAGACCTGGGTTAGACTGGGGTTAGACTGGGTTAAGATCAGGGTTAGACTGGGGTTTAGACCAGGGTTAGTCCAGGGTTAGACCGAGTTTAGACCGGGGATAGACCGAGTTGGACCAGGTTTAATCCTCGTGCTGTAGTTCTGGTTTTGTCTTTGTCTAATCCTTGATTAGACCTTGTGTAGACCTTGTTCAGGTCTGGTTTAGTCCTAGTTTAGACCTGTTTTTGACCTGTCTTAATCCTGGTTTAGTCCTGGTTTAGTCCTTGTTTAGTCCTGGTTTAATCCTGGTTTAGTTCTGGTTTAGTCCTGGTTTAATCCTGGTTTAATGCTGGTTTAATCCTGGTTTAGTCCTGGTTTAGTCCTTGTTTAGTCCAGCTTTTGTCCAGTTTTAGTTCTGCTTTAGTCCTGTTTTATTCCTGGTTTAGACCTGCTTTGGTTCTGGTTTAATCCTGGTTTAGTCCTGGTTTAGTCCTGATTCAGTCCTGATTTAGACCTGTTTTAGTTGTGGTTTAGTCGTGGTTTACACCTGGTTTAGACCTGGTTTAGTCCTGGTTTAGTCCTGGTTTAATCCTGGTTTAGTTCTGGTTTAGTCCTGGTTTAGTCCTGGTTTAATCCTGGTTTAATGCTGGTTTAATCCTGGTTTAGTCCTGGTTTAGACCTGGTTTAGACCTGGTTTAGACCTGGTTTAGTCCTGGTTTAGTCCTGGTTTAATGCTGGTTTAATCCTGGTTTAGTCCTGGTTTAGACCTGGTTTAGTCTTGGTTTAGACCTGGTTCAGTCCTGGTTTAGTCCTTGTTTAGACCCGTTTTAGTCTGGTCTTCTTGTGTTTCAGAGGTTGTATCGACACGAGGGTCTGAAGTCTCTGAGCTCGAGTCTGTACCACCTGCTCCCCCAGACCCCCGAGACCAGATTCAACCGAGAACTCAACCAGGTCCTCAGCCAGGTACTCTCTCATCACAACTGTGTCTCAGTCCTGGTCCAGTCCTGGTCCAGTCCTGGTCCAGTCCCGGTTCAGTCCTGGTTCTTTGTGTTCAGGTGAAGTACCGTCAGCGTCTGCAGAGCGCTCTCTTCTCTCAGCTCCCACAAACCAACGACACAGAGAGGGCCAAAACTCTGTCTGACCTCACCAGCCAGGTACTGCAAATACTACTGCTACTACTACTACTACTACTACTACTGCTACTGCTGCTACTACTACTACTACTACTACTACTACTACTACAACTACATATATCTTGTGTGCGTGTGTTTCAGGTGAAGTACAGGGAGAGTGGGAGGAAGTGGGCGTCCAGTTGTTTGTTTTCGAAGCTCCCAGAGACTCCAGAGACGCTCCACGCCAAAACCCTGTCCCAGATCCTCAGCCAGGTCAGTCCTGCTCCAGACCAGCTTTAGTCCGGGTTTAGTTCTGGGTTTAGATCTTTTCCAGACCGGGTTTAGTTCTGGGATTAGACCTGCTTCAGACCAGGTTTAGATCTTAGTATTTCAGACCTACATTTCTGATGTTTTTGTTTTGTTTTTGTTGTTTCTCAGGTGAAATATCGGCAGGATTCCAGCAGCAGGAGTTTGTATCATCGACTCAAAGAAACTCCAGAGATTCAACTCTCCAGAGCCCTGCAGGACCTCTACAGCCAGGTCAGGACTAGACCAAGTCTGGACCAGGATCCAGGTCAGGACTGGACCGGGTCTGGACCAGGATCCAAATGTTCAAATGCTGGTCTGAACCTGCTCTACATGATCCTGGGGTTTGGACTTCAACATTTTGTCCCAAATCCAGATCTGAACATTAATAACAGACCAATCAGGCGCCTTCCTTCCCTGAGGTCCCTCCCACTCGCGTTAGTAACAGGTTTGATTGACAGCGTTGCTAAGCCTGCGTTGTGGGTGAGAAGGGGCGTTACCTTCAACATCCTCGCTCTTGATTGGCTCTTCGGTTCCTCCTCTGACACTCAGGGTTGAAATTCCAAATCTGGAACTTTGCTCCAAATTCACCTGTACCCGCCGGCCTCGTTGAGCTTCATTTGACTGGTGCCAAACTCTGTGGGGACGTCACACTCAGTCCACCACCTCACACGGTCTAAGTCTGCAGAAGAATCTTTCTTTAGACCTAAACCAGGATCTTCAATACCGGGACTAAACATAAACTAAATTAGAACTAAACCAAGACTAAACAGGTTTAATCCTGAGCAGGCTCCTGGCTCTGGTCTGGTCTTGGTCCTGGTTCGGTCTTGGTCCTGGTTCGGACCTGGTTCAGACCTGGTCCAGACCTGGTCTCTGTTGTGTGTTCCTCAGGTGAAGTACAAGGAGCAGGTGAGGACGTCTCTGGGTCGGACTCTGTTCTCTGGACTTCCTCAGACCTCAGAGACTCTTCAGGCCAAAGTTCAGACCGAGCTCCAGAGCGAGGTGAGGACCCACACCAAAACTCAGACCAGACTCTACCTCGGATTTTTATTGAGGGGGGTGATCTACATGTATGTTTATGGTGAAATGTAACAGCGGACAGACTGTTCTGTTTTTTTGGGGGTTTGTTTAAGAGTAAAAATCCTCTCGTCTGTTGTCGTTCTTTATGCTCAGATTAAAGTATGAATATCCTCAGACAGGGCAGTGCCTCAGTTAGCATCACTTCTCCAGGGAATGTTTAATGACATCAGCTGCAGAGTGTCAGTACAGTAATGGTGCAAGTCGAATAATTTTTCTCCGAGCAGAACTTTGGAACAGTTTAAATGAGTTTTATATTTGTTTATGTTCTGTTTGTGTTGAAGTTGTGTGTCTGTGTGAAGTGTGAGAGTAAACGTGTGTGTGTGTCAGGTGTTGTGCAGGAGGGTGTAGTGTAAATGTGAAGTGTGTGTTGTGCGTTTACCTGCGTGAAGTCGCCCCACATCAAACACACAACTGCACAAAAACTGTGTCTATGTTTGTGCTGCAGAAAGTTTGGTTTGTGTTTTAGTTTTGGAGATATTCATGATTCTTTTACAGGTCAAATTGGAGTCAGCAGCCTCCAGGAAACTTCAAAATGAAATAAAACGACACAAAATGGAGTGAATCGAAAGAGGTTTCATTTGTGTGATTCTGGTTCTTAAGATCTGAACAGTTTTATTTTGGTCCGATGACTCAAAATGTGAAACAGCCTCAAAACAACTGAAAATTTAACCAAACATTTGTATTTTATTTGTTTTGTTTTGTGCTGTGACTGTTTTAATTTGTGTGAGTTTATGTCTAAAATGATTCATTATTATTTTTGTTTAAATTCTATGAGTTCATTTCCGTTCATCTGACGACAGCGACTTTAACAAAACTCCACAAAACAACCTGAGAGACGAAGAGAAACGACCTGAGGCTGTGGAAAAGTCTGGATCATTATATAAAATATGAATCAAAAGGGACTATGTTTCTGACCTGGGAACACCTCGGGGTCCAGCGGAGGAGCTGGAGGAAGTGTCCGGGGTGAAGGAAGTCTGGAAGTCCCTGTTTAGACTGACGCGCCCGAGACCCGACCCCAGAGAAGAGGAAGAACAAGAAGAACAACAAGAGGATGAATCAAAATCAAGTCCCTAAAGATTGATCCAGACTTTTCCACAGCTTCAGGTCGTTTCTCTTCGTCTCTCAGGTCGTTTTGTTGAGTTTTGTTAAAGTCGCTGTCGTCAGATGAACGGAAATTAACTCATGTAATTTACACAAAAATAATCATTCAGAATTTTAGAAATAAACTCACACAAATGAAAACTGTCACACACAAAACAACACAAAACAAATACAAACGATAGACAAACACACACTTAGTTTTTGTGGAGGTTTGTGTTTGAGGGGGGGTTGTGTGTTTCAGTGTGTGTTGTGTAGATGTTTCAGTGTGTGTTGTGTAGATGTTTCAGTGTGTGTGTGTGTGTGTTTTCAGTGTGTGTTGTGTAGATGTTTCAGTGTGTGTTGTGTGTGTGTTGTCAGTGTGTGTTGTGTGTTTTGTGTGTGTGTTGTGTGTGTTCAGTGTGTGTTGTGTGTTGTGTGTTTCAGTGTGTGTTGTGTAGATGTTTCAGTGTGTGTTGTGTGTTTCAGTGTGTGTTGTGTGTTTCAGTGTGTGTTGTGTGTTTCAGTGTGTGTTGTGTGTTTCAGTGTGTGTTGTGTGTTTCAGTGTGTGTTGTGTAGATGTTTCAGTGTGTGTTGTGTGTTTCAGTGTGTGTTGTGTGTTTCAGTGTGTGTTGTGTGTTTCAGTGTGTGTTGTGTGTGTGTTTCAGTGTGTGTTGTGTGTTGTGTGTTTCAGTGTGTGTTGTGTGTGTGTCAGTGTGTGTTGTGTGTGTTCAGTGTGTGTTGTGTGAGTGTGTGTCAGTGTGTGTGTGTGTTTCAGTGTGTGTGTGTGTGTGTTCAGTGTGTGTTGTGTGTTTCAGTGTGTGTTGTGTGTTTCAGTGTGTGTTGTGTGTTTCAGTGTGTGTTGTGTGTTTCAGTGTGTGTTGTGTGTGTGTGTGTCAGTGTGTGTTGTGTGTGTTCAGTGTGTGTAGTGTGTGTTTCAGTGTGTGTTGTGTAGTGTGTGTCAGTGTGTGTTGTGTGTTTCAGTGTGTGTTGTGTGTTTCAGTGTGTGTTGTGTAGATGTTTCAGTGTGTGTTGTGTGTGTGTTTCAGTGTGTGTTGTGTGTTTCAGTGTGTGTTGTGTGTGTTTCAGTGTGTGTTGTGTGTGTAGATGTTTCAGTGTGTGTTGTGTGTTTCAGTGTGTGTTCTGTGGGAGTGTGCGTCGGGGATGGATGGATTAAATATTGTCTCTTTTTTCTTTCAGGTTTTGTACAGAAAAGAGCGAGAGGAGCAGAGGCACAGTTTGTTTTCTGCTCTGCCTCAGACTCTCACCACAGAGTTTGTGAAGGACATGAACCAAACACACAACCAGGTACACACATACACACACACACACACGCACACATCTATACACACACAAACACACACGCACATGCACACACACACACATCCTTACACACCTATACACACACACACACATCTATACACGCACACCCATACACACACACACTTATACACACCTATACACATACACCGATACACACCTATACACACACACACCTATACACACACACACCTATACACATACACACACGATACACACCTATACACACACACCTATACATACACACGCACCTATACATACACACGCACCTATACATACACACACAACTATACACACACCTATATACACACCTATACACACACCTATACACATACACACCGATACACACACCTATACACACACACCTATACATATACACACACCTATACACACACACCTATACACACACACACCTATACACACACCTATACACACACCTATACACACCTATACACACATACCTATATACACACACCTATATACACACCTATACACACACACACACGCACACACACCTATACAGACACACACACACCCACACACACCACACACACACACTATGCACACACACACATCTATATACACACACACACACACACAGACAAACTGCTCTCCGTCATGGACACTTTTTTGCTACTTATTTAGAATTTATTATCACCATTATATTTTTTCTCTTGTGTCCAAATAACTTCCCTGTGGATCAATACATTTTGTCTAAGTGTAAGTCTAAGTGTAAGTCTAAGTGTAAGTCTAAGTGTAAGTCTAAGTCTTAAGTCTAAGTCTAAGTCTAAGTCTTAGTCTAAGTCTAAGTCCACACAGCAGGACTAAAGCGGTGCAGAGTCCCTGTTTGTGTCAGTCACACTCTGTGATCAGATAAACGGGTCGTGGGTTTATTCTGAGCTCTTTATCTGAGTCTGATACAGAAACACTCCACAGGCCAAAGACGCCACCAGAGGAGACGCTTTTAAAACCTCCTGTATCACACAAAACTCACTCCAGGAAGCTTTAGTCATGTTCTAACACTGTTTCCTCCTCAAAAAACAGACCTGGAGTTGTGTTTTTGTTTCATTCACACACAACTCCAGCTCTGAAAAGGAAACAACATCAGAAGAGAAAACAGTGAAACATAAACTTTTCAATTTTATATTATTATTTACTTACGATTTCTCTCATATATCTGCAAAGTTTTATAATACTCTCAGATAAATCCGTGTTTTCCGTCTGATTTTTGTGTTGTGTTTGTGTTTTTTGTGCAGGTGAAGTACAGAGAGGCGATGAAGAAGGACTGCACTAATCCTCTGTACCACACGCTCCCCGAAACTCTGGAGACGCAGCGAGTCAAAGAGGTCACCGAGCTGCAGAGCCAGGTGAGAGACAGGGGCGGAGACAGGTGAGAGACAGGAGCAGACAGGAGCAGACAGGAGCAGAGCTGTACTGATGTGTGCTGGTTGCAGGTGAAGTACCGCGAGGGGAGGAGGGCCTTGTGTCAGAGTCTGTACTCACAGCTCCCTCAGACCGCAGAGACGCAGCTCGCCTCCAAGATGGCCGACCTTAGCAGTGAAGTAAATATACATCATAAATCCTAAACCCCAGAACCCAGACCCTGACCCAGACCCAGACCCTGACCCAGACCCAGACCCTGACCCAGAACCCTGACCCAGACCCTGACCCAGACCCTGACCCAGACCCTGACCCAGACCCTGACCCAGACCCTGACCCAGAACCCTGACCAGACCCAGACCCTGACCCACCCAGACCCTGACCTGACCCAGACCCTGACCCAGACCCAGACCCTGACCCAGAACCCAGACCCAGACCCAGATCCTGACCCAGACCCTGACCCAGACCCAGACCCAGACCCAGACCCTGACCCAGACCCAAACCCAGACCCAGACCCAGATCCTGACCCAGACCCTGACCCAGACCCAGAACCCAGACCCAGACCCTGACCCAGACCCTAACTCAGACCAGACCCAGACCCTGACCCAGACCCTGACCCTGACCCTGACCCAGACCCTGACCCAAATCCAGACCCTGACCCAGACCCTGACCCAGACCCTGACCCAGACCCTGACCCAGACCCTGCAGACGGTTTAACCCGGCGTCTGTCTTTGTGCTCAGAGTAAATACAGGGAGGAGGGTCTGAAGAGTTTGTCTCAGAGTTTGTACTCGCAGCTCGCAGAGACGCCCGACACCGCCCTCGCCAAAACTGTGTCCGAGCTGCAGAGCCAGGTGAGCCCACGGCATCATGGGAAGTGGAGTCCAGCCCGTCTCTGTCTGTGCTTCTTCTTTTAAACAGATACTTTCAGTTCTTTTTACTGGACAAAGTTTTTTAGAGTGAATGTATTTGGCCGCTCTTCCAAGTAACACTTTGACACTGTGACCGTGCACACACTAATGCCCTGCACACACACCGGGGCACTGGTGTGTGCCTTGGTCGGGTGTGCGTTGGCCTTTACACACTCTTGTTGTGAGTGTGAGTTCACACAAACTTGTGTGTTTCAGGCCAAATACTCGGAGGCGAGCAGAAAAGAGGCGAGTGACAGTTTGTTCCACCACCTGCCCCTGACCCCCCAGATCCAACACGCCAAAGAGATCACACAACTGCAGAGCCAGGTACACACACACCTATACACACACCTATACACACACAGATCACACACACAACTGCAGAGCCAGGTACACACGCACCTATAACACACACCTATACACACACACACAGATCACACAACTGCAGAGCCAGGTACACACACACCTATACACACACCTATACACACACACAGATCACACAACTGCAGAGCCAGGTACACACGCACCTATACACACACCTATACACACACACACAGATCACACAACTGCAGAGCCAGGTACACACACACCTATACACACACCTATACACACACACACACAGATCACACAACTGCAGAGCCAGGTACACACACTCCTATACACACACCTATACACACACACCTATACACACACACACAGATCACACAACTGCAGAGCCAGGTACACACACACCTATACACACACCTATACACACACCTATACACACACACACAGATCACACAACTGCAGAGCCAGGTACACACACACCTATACACACACCTATACACACACAGATCACACAACTGCAGAGCCAGGTACACACACACCTATACACACACCCACAGATCACACAACTGCAGAGCCAGGTACACACACACCTATACACACACCTATACACACACACACAGATCACACAACTGCAGAGCCAGGTACACACACACCTATATACACACACACAGATCACACAACTGCAGAGCCAGGTACACACACACCTATACACACACCTATACACACACAGATCACACAACTGCAGAGCCAGGTACACACACACCTATACACACACCTATACACACACAGATCACACAACTGCAGAGCCAGGTACACACACACCTATACACACACCTATACACACACAAGATCACACAACTGCAGAGCCAGGTACACACACACCTATACACACACCTATACATACACACACAGATCACACAACTGCAGAGCCAGGTACACACACACACCTATACACACACAGATCACACAACTGCAGAGCCAGGTACACACACACACACACCTATACACACACACACACACATACACACACACACACTACACACACACACACACACAGAGACACACACACACACACATTCTTTACACAGAGGTGAACAAGGAAAACAACAGTCACACTTACACTGTATTTAAACTTAATTCACACTGTTTATGATGAATTTAACAATGTGCTGCTGTTGATTTCACGACTATTTCACTTTCCATGTGACTTCATTATTTATTATTTGTTTTATTTCAAACATGGACAGTGCACAGAAAACACAATCTGTGTCAGATTTATCTCTGAGCTCCTCAGACTAACACTCACTAACAACATTTCATCAGTAACAGCGTTTCCTTAAAATAACCACAATCCAGTTTCATCGTTTAAAACTCGTACAACATTTACTGTGATATTGTGTTAAAGATCATGATACGGTGGGTGGGTTCACCATTAGGGATGTAACAATCTCCAAATCTCTCTGTACGATATTTTCATGATAAACATCTCATGGTACGATATTTACTGTGATATTTTGTGGCGTCTAAAACTGTGAGTATTCTTCTTTTTTGTCTTAAAATTCCTTGACAAGACTTAATCCAAAGAACTAAGAGTTAAAAGTGTTGAACTGTTATTTCTTCTTGTCGTCTGCACTGAAATGGAGCAAAGGATCATGGTCTATGTAGTTCCTCTGTGTTTTTTTTATCTACTGCTGCACCAGAACTCTTCATTTAATCAAAGAGACTCGTAATTCGATATATTGTGATGGTCCACGATATTATTGTGAGAACTTTGACGATACGATATCACCATATTTGGGTTATTGTTACATCCCTAAAACAATCAAAATGAATTGAATTTCCATAAATACATGATTTCAAATTCATCATTATCTTCTAAAAATACTCACAGTCATTGTCAGAATCCTCTAAAATGTACTTTTACCAAATTTATCAGGTTTATTATTCTCTAAAATACAGTTCATCAACAGCAACCACAAAGACAAACGTCAAGAGTCTAACACAAAACATTTACGTCGACTTTAATTACACGAGACCCTCTCCCTTCACCTGACTCCTCCCCCTGGTGTGTGCAGCTGAAGTACAGAGAGGGTCAGAAGGAGCTGAGCAGCGCCCTCTACAGTCAGCTCCCAGAGACGCAGGAGACCCGGTTTGCGTCGGCCGTGAGTGAGCTGCAGAGCGAGGTACAGACGGAGACTCACAGACTCACGCTCGGGTTTAAACGTGTAACAAAAGTCTGACTTAACGTGATTTCTGTGGATGTGTGCAGCGCGTGTACAAACAGCAGAGCAAAGCCGACCTGAGCTCCTCCCAGTTCCACCTCCTGCCCCAGACCAGAGACACCGAACTCGCCAAACACCTGTCAGAGATCCAGAGTGAGGTCTGTGCCGCGCCGGGTTTACGTCACACTGAGAAGAGATGAAAAGAACTAAACTCAAAACACCTCCGTCCAAAACTGTTTACATGAGTTTAATCACATCATCTCCTGTCCCGGGTTTTGTGGTTTTCTTGTCAAAAAACTCTAAATCTGTGTGTGTGTGTGTGTGTGTGTGTGTGTGTGTCTGTGTGTGTGTGTGTCTGTGTTTGTGTGTCTGTGTGTGTGTGTGTGTGTCTGTGTGTGTGTGTGTCTGTGTGTGTGTGTGTGTGTGTGTGTGTGTGTGTGTGTGTGTGTGTGTGTGTGTTTATGTGTCCTCCAGTGATGTTTCCAGTAGTTGGTGACATCACGCAGAACTGCCCTGTTAGACCAATCACACTGCTCCTTACACCTCCAGACCCCGCCCCTCCTCCTCCTCCCCCCTCACTCTCTCCGTTCTGCTGCGATCAGAAAAAAACTCCACACTGGACTCCTCTGTTTGGACGCCCGTGCATGTGAGTGCATGTGAGTGCATGTGAGTGCATGTGAGTGTGCATGTGTGTGCATGTGTGTGCATGTGTGTGCATGTGTGTGTGTCTTGGACTCTGTGGACAAATGGGAGAAAAATACCTGACGTGTGTCAGGTACACCCCGAGGTGTTCCCAGTCCAGTCCAGAGACATAGTCCCTCCAGTGTGTCTGGGTCTTCTCCAGGGCCTCCTCCTGGTGGGACATGAACACCTCCTGAGGGACACGTCCAGGAGACGTCAGAACAGACGTCCTCCCCTCAGACGCTCCTGAAGACGAACCACAAACACACACAGACTCTGCATGTGGACGCTGACGCCGCCGACTGAACACACATTTAGTCCTCCAGACTTTGACTTGAATCGTGCATGTTCCTCTGTGTGTGTTTCAGTGTGTGTGTGTGTTTCAGTGTGTGTCGTGTGTTTCAGTGTGTGTCGTGTGTTTCAGTGTGTGTCGTGTGTTTCAGTGTGTGTCGTGTGTTTCAGTGTGTGTAGATGTTTCAGTGTGTGTTGTGATGTTTCAGTGTTGTGTGTGTGTTTCAGTGTGTGTCGTGATGTTTCAGTGTGTGTCGTGTGTTGTGTCGTGTGTTTCAGTGTGTGTAGATGTTTCAGTGTGTGTTGTGTGTTTCAGTGTGTGTTGTGTGTCTCAGTGTGTGTTGTGTGTTGTGTGTTCAGTGTGTGTTGTGTGTTTCAGTGTGTGTTGTGTGTTGTGTGTTTCAGTGTGTGTTGTGTGTTGTGTGTTTCAGTGTGTGTTGTGTGTTCAGTGTGTGTTGTGTGTTTCAGTGTGTGTTGTGTTGTTGTGTGTTTCAGTGTGTGTTGTGTGTTGTGTGTTTCAGTGTGTGTGTTGTGTGTGTTCAGTGTGTGTTGTGTGTGTTCAGTGTGTGTTGTGTGTGTGTGTGTCAGTGTGTGTTGTGTGTTGTGTGTTCAGTGTGTGTCAGTGTGTGTGTGTGTTCAGTGTGTGTGTGTGTGTTTTCAGTGTGTGTTGTGTGTTTCAGTGTGTGTTGTGTGTTTGTGTGTTTCAGTGTGTGTTGTGTGTGTGTTTCAGTGTGTTGTGTGTTGTGTGTTTCAGTGTGTGTTGTGTGTTGTGTGTTTCAGTGTGTGTTGTGTGTTTCAGTGTGTGTTGTGTGTTTCAGTGTGTGTTGTGTGTTTCAGTGTGTGTTGTGTGTTTCAGTGTGTGTTGTGTGTTTCAGGTGTGGTACAGGAGGGAGCGGGAGGAGCAGAGTCAGAGTCTTTTCTCCGCTCTGCCTCAGACTCTCACCACAGAGTTTGTGAAGGAAGTGTCCGAGGTGCTGTCAGAGGTCAGAGGTCACGCAGCACTCCTGCTGCTGCTTCTTCATTTTCACACAATAATCATCAGAATAATCATCAGAATAATCATCAGAATAATCATCAGAATCATCAGAATAATCATCAGAATCATCAGAATAATCATCAGAATCATCAGAATAATCATCAGAATAATCATCAGAATCATCAGAATAATCATCATCAGAATAATCATCAGAATAATCATCAGAATCATCAGAATAATCATCAGAATAATCATCAGAATAATCATCAGAATCAGAATAATCATCAGAATCATCAGAATCATCAGAATCATCATCAGAATAATCATCAGAATCATCAGAATAATCATCAGAATAATCATCAGAATCATCAGAATAATCATCAGAATAATCATCAGAATAATCAGAATCATATTTCCCGTTTGTGTTTCAGAACAAGTACAAAGCGTCGGGGAAGAAGGATCTGGAGAAGAGTTTGTACTCGCTCCTGCCTGAAACCAAAGAGACTCAACACGCAAAAGAGGCGGCGCAGCTCTGCAGCCAGGTCACACAAAAGAACGACAGAACGATAGAACGACAGAGATAGAACGATACAATGATAGACAGATAGAACTATAGAACAATAGAATGATAGAGACAGAACGATACAGAGATAGAATGAAAGAGAGACAGAATGATAGAAAGAACGATAGAGACAGAATGAAAGAGATAGAAGGACAGAATGATAAAGAGATAGAACGATAGAGGGACAGAGAGATAGAACAATAGAATGATAGAGAGATAGAATGATAGAAAGAACGATAGAGATAGAATGAGAGATAGAAGGATAGAGATAGAATTATAGAGAAATAGAACGATAGAGAGATAGAGAAACAAGGAGATAGAAAGATAGAACAAAAGAACAATAGAGAGATAGAGACAGAATGATAGAGTGATAGAACAATAGAGAGATAGAACAATAGAGAGATAGAGACAGAATGATAGAACGATAGAGAGATAGAACAATAGAGAGATAGAGACAGAATGATAGAGTGATAGAACGATAGAGAGATAGAACAATAGAGAGATAGAACAATAGAGAGATAGAGACAGAATGATAGAGTGATAGAGAGATAGAACGACAGACAGATCTATATCTCAGACTGAGCGTGTTTGTTTTTCGTTCACAGAAGTGTTACTCGTCGGAGAGCAGGAGGGAGGCCGTGTGCAGTCTGTACTCTCACATGCCCCAGACCATCGAGACCGTGTTCAACAAACAACTCTCCAAAACTCAGAGCGACGTAAGTCAGATGCCCTCCCACAGACACTCCTCCTCCACACTCATCCTCCCACCAACACTCATCCTCCTCCACACTCATCCTCCTCAACACTCATCCTCCTCCACACTCATCCTCCTCTTCACGTTTTTAGCCCGGCAGCAGCAGATCCGCAGAGGGCCACAGTTTTTGTTTTTTTCTCGTTCTGTGTTTTTGTTGTTTGTGTTTTCTGGAGCGTGAGGAGCGAGCGCAGATGTGACCCACTGACACCCAAAGGACCCAGAGGAGCACCCTCCCTCACCCACTTTATCTGCTCCACACTCGAACAGACCAGACGAGACTTGCACAGCCACACAAATAAACCATTTAGTATTATTATTATTATTATTATTATTATTATTATTATTATTAGATCAACAGTGTTAGAGATTTAAAGTTTGGATCTGGGAGACAAATAGAGCTTTTTCACATCAGCTGAAGTGTCTCGCTGTGGGTTTGAGGAACTCCCAGTTAATGTAAATGTGTGTGTAAATGTGTGTGTAAATGTGTGTGTAAGTGTGTGTGTAAATGTGTGTGTAAGTGTGTGTGTAAATGTGTGTGTAAGTGTGTGTGTAAATGTGTGTGTAAGTGTGTGTCGTTTTCTCCAGCAGCTTCATAAATCTGCCCCATCACTAAATCTTCAACCAACAAACTCCATAAAGGATAAAAATCTGTGTGTCATTTGTTCATTTGTTTTTCAAAATAAAACCAAAAATAAGAAAACGAAAAAAAAACTTTTTTTAAAATTCTTCATTATTTGTCTCCAAAACCAAAATAAAAAAACAGATAATGACTTGTTTTTTCAGTTTTCGATTTTGTGTTTAAATGAAAAAAGGAAAAAACAGATAACGGATGTTTCCCTTTTCTGAAACTTAAACTGCGATGCCGGACTGAACCAGGACTGAACCAGGACTAAACCGGTCTCAGTCCTAGTCTGGTCTCGGTCTTGGTCTTAGTCCCGCTGTCAGTCATGATCATCCAACAGTCTACGCAGCCGCACCTACCCCCGACATTCAGTCCTGGTTTAGTCCTGGTTTAGTCCTGGTTTAGTCCTGGTTTAGTCCTGGTTTAGTCCTGGTTTAGTCCTGGTTTAGACCTGGTTTAGTCCTGGTTTAGTCCTGGTTTAGACCCGGTTTAGTCCTGGTTTAGACCTGGTTTAGTCCTGGTTTAGTCCTGGTTTAGTCCTGGTTTAGTCCTGGTTTAGACCTGGTTTAGTCCTGGTTTAGACTTGTTTTTTGGAAACGGGAAACTTTGTTATCAGTTTTTTCCATTTTTCATTTAAACTCAAAATCATAATGTAGAAAACTGTAGATTTTTGGTTTTCTTATTTTTGGTTTTATTTTGAAAAACAAATGAACGAACAACTCGGACTGATAAACATTCTTCCATGAACAATTTATCCACAACTATCAAGAGAAGAAAGAACAAAACTTAAAGGAAACACACACACACACATTTACACACACACATTTACACACACACATTTACACACACATTTACACACACACATTTACACACACACATTTACACACACACATTTACACACACATTTACACACACACATTTTACACACACACATTTACACACACACATTTACACACACATTTACACACACACATTTACACACACACATTTACACACACATTACACACACACATTTACACACACATTTACACACACACATTTACACACACACACTTTACACACACATTTACACACACACATTTACACACACACACACACATTACACACACACATTTACACACACACATTTACACACACATTTACACACACACATTTACACACACACATTTACACACACACACACACATTTACACACACACACACACACACATTTACACACACATTTACACACACACATTTACACACACACATTTACACACACACATTTACACACACACATTTACACACACATTTACACACACACATTTACACACACATTTACACACACATTTACACACACACACACACACACATTTACACACACACACACACATTTACACACACACACACATTTACACACACACACACATTTACACACACATTTACACACACACACATTACACACACATTTACACACACATTTACACACACACATTTACACACACACATTTACACACACACACATTTACACACACACACACACATTTACACACACATTTACACACACACATTTACACACACATTTACACACACACACACACACATTTACACACACATTTACACACACACACACACACACATTTACACACACATTTACACACACACATTTACACACACACACTTTACACACACATTTACACACACATTTACACACACACATTTACACACACATTTACACACACATTTACACACACATTTACACACACACATTTACACACACACACACACACATTTACACACACACACACATTTACACACACACATTTACGCACACATTTACATACACACATTTACACCACACACATTTACACACACACATTTACACACACACACACACACATTTACACACACATTTACACACACACATTTACACACACACACATTTACACACACACATTTACACACACACATTTACACACACACATTTACACACACATTTACACACACATTTACACACACACACACACACATTTACACACACACATTTACACACACACATTTACACACACATTTACACACACACATTTACACACACACACACACACATTTTACACACACATTTTGACACAGAAAACCATTAACCGGACGTTCCACAAACCTACAGCGGGACACTTCAGCTTATGTGAACAAGATGACTGTGGTTAAGGTCATTTACATTCTCTCTCTGTTCCCGCCTTATCACCTCTAAAAACACACAAATATTACACACACACACACACACACACACACACACATCTGTAAACAGCTGTTAGACACACAGACCATGTTCATCTCTTGTTATGTTGTGTGAGACTTAAACAAACACAACATAATAAAAAACAAAGAGTAAAAGGATATTGTTGGTGTGTGTGTGTGTGTGTGTGTTTTTGTGTGTTTTTGTGTGTGTGTGTTTGTGTGTGTGTGTTTGTGTGTGCAGAAGTTGTACAAAGAGCAGTTTAACCGGGAGAAGGGCCGAAGCAGCTACAGCCGCCTCCAGAGTCTGCCCCAGATCCAACACGCCCTCCAGGTGTCCAAGAACCAGAGCCAGGTCAGTCCTGCTTCAGTCCTGGTTCAGTCCTGGTTTAGTCCTGGTTCAGTCCTGGTTTAGTCCTGGTTCAGTCCTGGTTTAGTCCTGGTTCAGTCCTGGTTTAGTCCTGGTTCAGTCCTGGTTTAGTCCTGGTTCAGTAGTGGTTTAGTCCTGGTTCAGTCCTGGTTTAGTCCTGGTTCAGTCCTGGTTTAGTCCTGGTTCAGTCCTGGTTCAGTCCTGGTTCAGTCCTGGTTCAGTCCTGGTTTAGTCCTGGTTCAGTTGGTTAGTCCTGGTTCAGTCCTGGTTTAGTCCTGGTTTTAGTCCTGGTTCAGTCCTGGTTTAGTCCTGGTTTAGTCCTGGTTCAGTCCTGGTTTAGTCCTGGTTCAGTCCTGGTTAGTCCTGGTTTAGTCCTGGTTCAGTCCTGGTTTAGTCCTGGTTTAGTCCTGGTTTAGTCCTGGTTCAGTCCTGGTTCTGGTTTGTGTTTCAGGTGAATTACTCGAGGTCTCGTGACGACCTGCATCAGTTCCGTTCGGCTCCGGATCGTCCCGACATCGTGAACGCCTCCAACGCCGCCAAACTCGCCAGCGACGTGAGCATCACCACGGCAACCGCATCCACGACACCCGCATCCACGACAACCGCATCCACGACACCCGCATCCACGACAACCGCATCCACGACACCCGCATCCACGATCCACGGCAACCGCATCCACGACACCCGCATCCACGACAACCGCATCCACGACACCCGCATCCACGACAACCGCATCCACGACAACCGCATCCACGACAACCGCATCCACGACAACCGCATCCACGACAACCGCATCCACGACACCCGCATCCACGGCAACTGCATCCACGACAACCGCATCACATAACCCCTGTCTCCATGACAACCGCATCCCAAAGCCTCGTCAGCTTCACAGAGCGCAGGGGCCTGTTACATAACACGACAGGGACTGAGTCAGAGAAACACACTCCCACGCACATAATACACACAAATACACACATAATACACACAAATACACACAATATATACAAATACACACAAAATACACACAAATATACACACAATATATACAAATACACACATAATACACACAAATATACACAATATATACAAATACACACATAATACACACAAATATACACAAATACACACAAATATACACAAATACACACAAATATTCACAATATATACAAATACACACATAATACACACAAATATACACAAATATATACAAATACACATGAAATACACACAAATAATACACTCAAATACACACAATATATACAAATACACACATAATACACACATAATACACACAAATATACACAATATATACAAATACACACATAATACACTCAAATACACACATAATACACACAAATACACACATATATATACAAATACACATGAAATACACACAAATACACACATATATATACAAATACACATGAAATACACACAATATATACAAATATATACAAATACAAATGAAATACACACAAATACACACAATATATACAAATATACACATAATACACACAAATACACACAATATATACAAATACACACATAATACACACAAATACACACATAATACACACAAATACACACAATATATACAAATACACACAAATACACACATAATACACACAAATACACACAATATATAATATACAAATACACACAATATATACAAATATACACATAATACACACAAATGCACACATAATACACACATAATACACACAATACACACAAATACACACAATATATACAAATACACACAAATACACACAATATATACAAATATACACATAATACACACAAATGCACACATAATACACACAAATACACAACAAATACACACAAATACACACAATATATACAAATATATACAAATACACACATAATACACACAAAATACACACAAATATATACAAATACACACATAATACACACAAATACACACAATATATACAAATATATACAAATACACATGAAATACACACAATATATACAAATACACACATAATACACACAAATACACACAAATATATACAAATACACACATAATACACACAAATACACACAATATATACAAATATACACATAATACACACAAATACACACAATATATACAAATATACACATAATACACACAAATACACACAATATATACAAATATACACATAATACACACAAATACACACAATATATACAAATATACACATAATACACACAAATACACACATAATACACGCAATATATACAAATACACACAAATATATACCCACAAATACACACAAATGTACACGCAAAATATACAGAAAAATCCACACAAAATCCACAAATAATATAATACTGAAATAATACACACATAATAATAATAATATAATATGTGTAGTAATAATGGAGGTGTTATTGCTCTGGCTGAAATGTTCCACAGTATGGCATTAAACTTGTCTATCTCCTTGGAGACTGTGTCCAAATAATTTCCCTGTGGATCAATAAAGTTTGACATGGTCAGATCTGTGGAGAGGCGTTGAATGCCACACTGTGGAACATTCTAGTCAGAGCAATAAAAGATAAAAGTTACAGAGTGTAACTTGCACCTGTAATTATTTATATGAATTTAATAAATCCCACTGCACAGAGAAACAGTGAAACGTCTTTTTAGGGTCATGTTTGTGCGTCCGAACTCGTATTATAGTCGACAACTGTAGCGGCAGAAAACGACACAAACACGAGCTGCACGACCAGAAGACGCCACAGGTTTAACACACAGACTGTTTCTGTTTGTGTTCACAGGTGGTTTATAAGAACAGCTCCAAGGCTCCAGCTCTGAGCGACAAATCTCTGCTCTCCAGAACCGACATCCAACACGCCCAGAACACCTCCACCCTCATCAGCCAGGTGAGACACGCCCACAACACCTCCACCCTCATCAGCCAGGTGAGACACGCCCACAACACCTCCACCCTCATCAGCCAGGTGAGACACGCCCACAACACCTCCACCCTCATCAGCCAGGTGAGACACGCCCACAACACCTCCACCCTCATCAGCCAGGTGAGACACGCCCACAACACCTCCACCCTCATCAGCCAGGTGAGACACGCCCACAACACCTCCACCCTCATCAGCCAGGTGAGACACGCCCACAACACCTCCACCTTCATCAGCCAGGTGAGACACGCCCACAACACCTCCACCCTCATCAGCCAGGTGAGACACGCCCACAACACCTCCACCCTCATCAGCCAGGTGAGACACGCCCACAACACCTCCACCCTCATCAGCCAGGTAAGACACGCCCACAACACCTCCACCCTCATCAGTCAGGTAGACACGCCCACAACACCTCCACCCTCATCAGCCAGGTGAGACACGCCCACAACACCTCCACCCTCATCAGCCAGGTGAGACACGCCCACAACACCTCCACCTCATCAGCCAGGTGAGACAGCCCACACACCTCCACCCTCATCAGCCCGAGGACACGCCCACAACACCTCCACCCTCATCAGTCAGGTAAGACACGCCCACAACACCTCCACCCTCATCAGCCAGGTGAGACATGCCCACAACACCTCCACCCTCATCAGCCAGGTGAGACACGCCCACAACACCTCCACCCTCATCAGACACGCCCACAACACCTCCACCCTCATCAGCCAGGTGAGACATGCGCCCACAACACCTCACCCTCATCAGCCACGCCCACAACACCTCACCCTCATCAGCCAGGTGAGACAGCCCACAACACCTCCACCCTCATCAGCCAGGTGAGACACGCCCACAACACCTCCACCCTCATCAGTCAGGTAAGACACGCCCACAACACCTCCACCCTCATCAGCCAGGTGAGACACCCACAACACCTCCACCCTCATCAGCCAGGTGAGACAGGAGCAGACAGGAGCAGACAGATTCACCCTCACTACAAAAAAATAGAAATCAGTCAGTGTTTCTCATCAAACTCCTGATGAGGCTGAAGAAAACATGATGCTTAAACGACAGATTTCCACAGAGTTTGTCATATTCACTGTGTGTTTGTGTCCGTTTGTGTGCGTGTGTGTTTGTGTCCGTGTGTGTTTGTGTGTGTGTGTGCGTGTGTGTTTGTGTGTGTGTGTGTTGTGTGCGTGTGTGTGTGTGTGTGTGTGTGTGCGTGTTTGTGTGTGTGTGTTTGTGTGCGTGTGTGTGTGTGTGTCTCTGTGTGTGTGTGTGTGTGTGTAATTGTGTACTTTAAACTGACTCTTGTGTGTGTTGTGTTTCTCAGGTGAAGTACAGAGACGAGCAGAGACTCAGACCCTGTTATAATCCTCTGGACTGTGTCTCCTTCAAACACACTCAGGCTGCAGCAGCTCTGGCCTCACAGGTCAGACCAGGACCAGGACCAGGACCAGACCAGACCAGGACCAGGACGGGACCCGGACCAGACCAGGACCAGGACCAGGACCCGGACCCGGACCAAACCAGACCAGGACCAGGACCAAACCAGACCAGGACCAGGACATAAACCAGACCAGGACCCGGACCAGGACCAAACCAGACCAGGACCAGGACCAGGACCAAACCAGACCAGGACCAGGACCAGGACCAAACCAGACCAGGACCAGGACCAGGACCAGACCGGGACCAGGACCAGGACCCGGACCAAACCAGACCAGGACCAGGACCAGACCAGGACCAGGACCCCGGACCAAACCAGACCAGGACCCGGACCAGGACCAGGACTAGGACTGATCCAGGACTAAACCAGGACTGAATCAGGAATGAATCAGATCTAAACTATGATAGAACCAGGACTAAACCAAGACTAAACCAGGACTAAACCAGGACTAAACCAAGACTAAACCAGGACTAAACCAGGACTAAACCAGGACTAAACCAGGTCTAGATTAAAGTCTAAACTATGAAACTTGGATTAAGATCTGCAGGTTTTTTCTTTGGTTAAATCAGTGAATCTAAAATTCAGATACAAAGAGACTGACAATGTGCTGCGTGGGAGGAACGAGGGAAGAGGAGAGATGGAGAAGAGGAGGAGAGAGATGGACAGAAGGAGGAGAGAGAGGGAAGTAAAGCAGAGAGCGGTACACAGAGAGAGAGAGATGAAGATTAGGAGCAGGGGGAGGAGAGATGGAGAGCGAAAGAAGCAAAGAAAAGAGGGAGAGTGAAAAGAGAGAGCGAATGAGGAAAAGGAGAGAGAGAGAGAGCAAACAAGGAGAAAGGGACAGAAGAGCAGGACTGCAAAAATGAGAGGGAGTGAAAGAGAAGCAAAGAAGAGAAAGAGAGGAGATAGAGGGGGAGGAATGAGAAAAGAGGAGGAGAGAAGAGAGAGAGGGAAAGAAGAGAGAGAGGGAAAGAGGAGAGAGAGAGGGAGCGAATGAGAAGAGTGAGAGAGGAAGTGCAGTGTGGGAGTCTGAATCACAGATGTTACATAACAGTTTGTTTTGCTTCACAAAAGACACAAAGACTCTGCATCCTCTTCTCCATCTGCTCCTCCTCTTCCTCTCCTCCTCTGATCCTCTCTTCCTCTCACCCTCTCCTCCTCTTCTGACCCTCTCCTCCTCTTCTTCCCTCACCTCCTCTCTCCTCTCCTCCTCCTCTCACCCTCTCCTCCTTTTCTGACCTTCTCCTCCTCCTCCTCTCATCCTCTTCCTCTCCTCCTCCTCTCCTCCTCTTCTTCCCTTGCCTTCTCTCACCTTCTCCTCCTCACCCTCTCCTACTCTCCTCCTCTTCTGACCCTCTCCTCCTCTTCTTCCCTCAACTCCTCTCTCCTCTCCTCCTCTTCTGACCCTCTCCTCCTCCTGACCCTCTCCTCCTCTCTCTCTCCTCCTCCTCTCCTCTCTCCTCTCCTCCTCTTCTGACCCTCTCCTCCTCCTCCTCCTCCTCCCTCTGTCTCTCCTCATCCCTCTCTCCCTCTCTCTGTCTGTCTCCTCCTTTTCCGTCTCTCCGTGTGTTCCTCCTCCTCATCCCTCTCTCCCTCTGTCCGTTTGTTCTTTAAACAGGTGAAGTACAGATCCAGTCAGAGGACAGAGTCTGGGTGTGATGTTCCAAACCTGCTCCAGCTCCAGCACGTCCTGCACGCCTCCAAACTCCAGAGCCACGTACGCACAAAACACACACAAACACACACAAAAACACACAAAAACACACAACAACACACAACACGTCCTGCACGCCTCCAAACTCCAGAGCCACGTACGCACAAACACACACACAAACGCACAAAAACACACAACAACACACACAACAACACACAACACGTCCTGCACGCCTCCAAACTCCAGAGCCACGTACGCACAAACACACACACAAACACACAAAAACACACAACACACAACACACACAACACGTCCTGCACGCCTCCAAACTCCAGAGCCACGTACGCACAAACACACACACAAACACACACACAACAAAACACACAACAACACACAACACGTCCTGCACGCCTCCAAACTCCAGAGCCACGTACGCACAAACACACACACAAACACACAAAACACACAAAAACACACAACAACACACAACACGTCCTGCACGCCTCCAAACTCCAGAGCCACGTACGCACAAACACACACACAAACACACAAAAACACACAACAACACACAACAACACACAACACGTCCTGCACGCCTCCAAACTCCAGAGCCACGTACGCACAAACACACACACAAAAAACACACACAAAAACACACAAAAACACACAACAACACACAACACGTCCTGCACGCCTCCAAACTCCAGAGCCACGTACGCACAAACACACACACAAACGCACAAAAACACACAACAACACACAACACGTCCTGCACGCCTCCAAACTCCAGAGCCACGTACGCACAAACACACACACAAACACACACACAAACACACAACAACACACAACACGTCCTGCACGCCTCCAAACTCCAGAGCCACGTACGCACAAACACACACACAAACACACAACAACACACAACAACACACAACACGTCCTGCACGCCTCCAAACTCCAGAGCCACGTACGCACAAACACACACACAAACACACACAAAAACACACAACAACACACAACACGTCCTGCACGCCTCCAAACTCCAGAGCCACGTACGCACAAAAACACACACAAACACACAACACACAACAACACACAACACGTCCTGCACGCCTCCAAACTCCAGAGCCACGTACGCACAAAAACACACACAAACACACACACAAAACACACACTGAGACACAGACTAAACTAGGATCATATCAGGTCTAAAGCAGAACTAAGCCAAGATTACATTAGAAGAAATATAAGACTAGTTCTATACCGGGTCTGAACCAGTTCTAAACTGGGTCTGAACCAGTTCTAAACTGGGTCTAAACCAGTTCTAAACCGGGTCTGAACCAGTTCTAAACCGGGTCTGAACCAGTTCTAAACCGGGTCTAAACCAGTTCTAAACCGGGTCTGAACCAGTTCTAAACTGGGTCTGAACCAGTTCTAAACTGGGTCTAAACCAGTTCTAAACCGGGTCTGAACCAGTTCTAAACCGGGTCTGAACCAGTTCTAAACCGGGTCTGAAACCAGTTCTAAACTGGGTCTAAACCAGTTCTAAACCGGGTCTGAACCAGTTCTAAACCGGGTCTAAACCAGTTCTAAACCGGGTCTGAACCAGTTCTAAACCGGGTCTGAACCAGTTCTAAACCGTCTGAACCAGTTCTAAACTGGGTCTGAACCAGTTCTAAACGGGTCTGTTCTAAACCAGTTCTAAACCGGGTCTGGGTCTGTTCTAAACCGGGTCTGAACCAGTTCTAACGGGTCTAAACCGTTCTAAACCTGAACCAGTTTCTAAACCGGTCTAAGTTCTAAACCGGGTCTGAACCAGTTCTAAACTGGGTCTAAACCAGTTCTAAACTGGTCTGAACCAGTTCTAAACCGGTCTGAACAGTTCTAAACAAACCGTTCTAAACTGAACCAGTTCTAACCGGTCTGAACCAGTTCTAAACCGGGTCTGAACCAGTTCTAAACCGGGTCTGAACCGGGTCTGGTCTGGTTGTGATTCTGTTCCCTCCTTGTGCGTTTGGCAGGTGGAATATAAGAAACAGAACGAACAGAACAAGTCTCAGTACCACATGGTCCTGGACACAGCGGAACAGCGCCACCACAGGGACAACGCCGTACTGCACTCACAGGTGTGTGTCCAGAGCCCAGAGTCCCCCGACACACACACGGAGGGACCTGACACACACACGGAGGGACCCGACACACACACGGAGGGACCCGACACACGCACGGAGGGACCTGACACACACACGGAGGGACACCACGACACACACACGGAGGGACCTGACACACACACGGAGGGACCCGACACACACACGGAGGGACCCGACACACGCACGGAGGGACCTGACACATCTGACACACACACGGAGGGACCTGACACAACACACGGAGGACCTGACACACACACGGAGGGACCCGACACACACACGGAGGGACCCGACACACACACGGAGGGACCCGACACACACGGAGGGACACACACACACGGAGGGACCCGACACACACAGGGGAGGGACCCGACACACACACGGAGGGACATGACACACACACGGAGGGACCTGACACACACACGGAGGGACCTGACACACACACGGAGAGACCCGACACACACACAGAGGGACACCGACACACACACGGAGGGACCCGACACACACACGGAGGGACCCGACACACACACGGGGAGGACACCAACACGGAGGGACCTGACACACACACGGAGGGACCTGACACACACACGGTGGGACCTGACACACACACGGAGGGACCTGACACACACAGGGGAGGGCATCTGACACACACAGGGGAGGGCACCTGACACACACAGGGAGGGCATCTGACACACACGGGGAGGGACCTGACACACACAGGGGAGGGACCTGACACACACAGGGGAGGGCATCTGACACACACGGGGAGGGACCTGACACACACAGGGGAGGGACCTGACACACACAGGGGAGGGACCTGACACACACAGGGAGGGACCTGACACACACAGGGGAGGGACCTGACACACAGGGGAGGGACCTGACACACACAGGGGAGGGACCTGACACACACAGGGGAGGGCGTCTGATGGTTTGAATATTTTGTGTTTCAGGTGAAGTACAAAGAGGAGTACGAGAAGAGCAAAGGACGTTCACAGATGGAGTTTTCTGACACAGAAGCCTTCAGAGTCTCTAAAGAAGCTCAGAGGATGAACAGTGAGGTGAGAGGAGCAGAGGATGAACAGTGAGAGGAGCAGAGGATGAACAGTGAGGTGAGAGGAGCAGAGGATGAACAGTGAGAGGAACAGAGGATGAACAGTGAGAGGAACAGAGGATGAACAGTGAGAGGAGCAGAGGATGAACAGTGAGAGGAACAGAGGATGAACAGTGAGAGGAACAGAGGATGAACAGTGAGAGGAACAGAGGATGAACAGTGAGGTGAGAGGAGCAGAGGATGAACAGTGAGGAGCAGAGGATGAACAGTGAGAGGAAGGATGAACAGAGGAACAGTGAGGAGACAGTGAGGTGAGAGGAACAGAGGATGAACAGTGAGAGAGATGAACAGAGAGAACAGAGGATGAACAGTGAGGAGCAGAGGATGAACAGTGAGGGAACAGAGGGATGAACAGTGAGAGGAGCAGAGGATGAACAGTGAGAGGAGCAGAGGATGAACAGTGAGGTGAGAGGAGCAGAGGATGAACAGTGAGAGGAGCAGAGGATGAACAGTGAGAGGAACAGAGGATGAACAGTGAGAGGAGCAGAGGATGAACAGTGAGAGGACAGAGGATGAACAGTGAGAGGAGCAGAGGATGAACAGTGAGAGGAGCAGAGGATGAACAGTGAGGTGAGAGGAGCAGAGGATGAACAGTGAGAGGAACAGAGGATGAACAGTGAGGTGAGAGGAGCAGAGGATGAACAGTGAGAGGAGCAGAGGATGAACAGTGAGAGGAGCAGAGGATGAACAGAGGTGAGAGGAGCAGAGGATGAACAGTGAGGTGAGAGGAGCAGAGGATGAAGCAGAGGATGAACAGTGAAACTGAACAGAAAATTCATCCAAAAGAGAAAATAAAACCGGAGCATAAATGTAACGTCATAAATGATGAAAGACGTGCAGGTCCTGAAATAAAACAAACATGGAGGAGTTAGGGAGGACGAACAGAACACGAGAAAAGGAACACACATGCAGGACAGAACACGAGAAGGAAACAGCGAAGGTGAAACACGAGCAACAAAACTCAAAACAGAACAGGGACAACTCAGATCGTCCGTTTGTGACGAGTGTAAGGGGTTTGGGTTAGAAGAGAAGCACATTCTGGACTGAGACGGAGCAAACATCACCACAAACATCTTATAAACCGAGACGAGGGTTTTATTTCCTCTCACACTCCTGGACTGCAGGTGGCGCTGTCGTCCTGACTCCACCGAGACGAAGACACAAACAAAACCTGTTTACATCAACTGAACGACACGACACAGAAACATCATGAGACTCTGAGGAAGAGACTCTGAGGGAGACTCTGAGGGAGACTCTGAGGAAGACTCTGAGGAACTCTGAGGAGACTCTGAGGAAGACTCTGAGGAAGAGAGGAGACTCTGAGGGAGACTCTGAGGAGACTCTGAGGAACTCTGAGGGAGACTCTGAGGGAGAGAGGAGACTCTGAGGAACTCTGAGAAGACTCTGAGGGAGACTCTGAGGGAGACTCTGAGGGACTCTGACTCTGAGGAGAGACTGAGGAGACTCTGAGGGAGACTCTGAGGAGACTCTGAGGGAGACTCTGAGGGAGACTCTGAGGGAGACTCTGAGGGAGACTCTGAGGGAGACTCTGAGGAAGACTCTGAGGGAGACTCTGAGGGAGACTCTGAGGGAGACTCTGAGGAGAGACTCTGAGGGAGACTCTGAGGGAGACTCTGAGGGAGACTCTGAGGAGACTCTGAGGAAGACTGAGGAAGACTCTGAGGGAGACTCTGAGGGAGACTCTGAGGGAGACTCTGAGGGAGACTCTGAGGAAGACTCTGAGGAAGACTCTGAGGAAGACTCTGAGGAAGACTCTGAGGAAGACTCTGAGGGAGACTCTGAGGAAGACTGAGGAAGACTCTGAGGAGACTCTGAGGGAGACTCTGAGGAGACTCTGAGGAAGACTCTGAGGAAGACTCTGAGGGAGACTCTGAGGAAGACTCTGAGGGAGACTCTGAGGAAGACTCTGAGGGAGACTCTGAGGGAGACTCTGAGGAAGACTCTGAGGGAGACTCTGAGGGAGACTCTGAGGGAGACTCTGAGGAACTCTGAGGAAGACTCTGAGGAAGACTCTGAGGGAGACTCTGAGGGAGACTCTGAGGAAGAGGAGCAGGGAGCAGACCAAATTGTCAGGATGAAAACAAACTCTGGGTCTGAAAAAAAGAATCAAATAATATAAATCATCAGACCAAATGAATCTGACTGAAACAGAAAACGAGCTCAGAGAAAAGAAGAGCAGAGACACATGTTTATAAAAACACACACACACACACCTCTGTCTGACAACGGAATTAATAACAGGTGTGTGTGTGTGCGTCTGTGTGTTTGTTTGTGTGTGTATTTGTGTGTGTGTGTTTGTGCGTCTCTGTGTGTGTGTGTCGTGTGTGTGTATTTGTGTGTGTGTGCTCCGTGTGTATTTGTGTGTGTATTTGCGTGTGTGTGTGTTTGTGTGTGTATTTGTGTGTGTGTGTCGTGTGTGTGTGTGTGTCGTGTGTATTTGTGTGTGTCGTGTGTGTTTGTGTTTGTGTGTCTCTGTGTGTGTGTGTATTTGTGTGTGTCGTGTGTATTTGTGTGTGTGTGTCGTGTGTGTGTATTTGTGTGTGTGTGTCGTGTGTGTGTGTTTGTGTGTATTTTGTGTGTGTACAGAGGGAGTACCGTAAAGACTTTGAGGAGCAGATTAAAGGGAAACCTCTGATGGAAGTCGACCAGACTCCAGGATACAAGACGGCCCGACAGGCGGCCACCCTGCTCAGCCAGGTACCTGCCCACCTGTCCACCTGTCCACCTGTCCACCTGTCCCCTGTCCACCTGTCCACCTGCCCACCTGTCCTGTCCACCTGTCCACCTGCCCACCTGTCCCACCTGTCCACCTGTCCACCTGTCCCACCTGCCCACCTGTCCTGTCCACCTGTCCACCTGTCCACCTGCCACACTGTCCCCTGTCCCACCTGTCCCACCTGCCCACCTGCCCACTGTCCACCTGTCCACCTGCCCACCTGCCCACCCCCTGTCCACCTGTCCACCTGTCCCACCTGTCCCACCTGTCCACCTGTCACCTGTCCACCTGTCCACCTGCCCACCTGTCCACCTGTCCACCTGTCCTGTCCACC